GATCCCATCTGCCGTGTGTGCTTCTATGAGGTTTGCAGTGTGTATTTGCAGTGTGTATCTGCATGTACAGTGTATGTACATGTACATAAGCATGCACAATGTACATGTACATCTGCATGTATGTCATATCTATTGTGCACGTACACATAAATGTACATGTAAATGTAATGTACACATGTACATTATGCATTGTGCCCAGTGGGAGAAATATTACTGGATGGTACCCTTATTTGTTTAGAATTGATTGGATCTGATAAGTGTCCTGTCAAATATTGATAATCAATGGTTTGATTCCTCCTCATTGTTGAAGTTTGTTTACCCTTTTTCAGTCACCCTCAATTTGTTATCAGGTCAAAAGATTTAATATCACACCACTGAAAGACTCGTATGGTGTGTACATGTGATAATCTCAGTAATCAACAGTTCTCAGACCATATACACTGTACATGTACAATGTGTATAAAAAAACAAGATTTCTGTTCAAGTTTGTGAAAATTGCGTTAGCTTTGCACCAAGTGAGTAGAAGCGCCTTAAAGCCACCTACATGTACATGTGTATTTCCTCTTTCCAATGATGTTATTCATACACGGTCATAAATGGCCGACTGATCATTCTTTTTGGACAGTGGGACAAAATGGGCTTCGGGCCAAGTCTTAGACACTGCAATAACCATGGCATCTTATTGGAAACTAACTTGACAACATGGAATGATGAAATCAAGAATCACAACTTAACATTGCCTTCTTCAGGATATTTTTCTGCAGGGCTAGAACCTGTAACAAGTACATCAATGCAATACACATTTGATCCAGAGATTAGGTAATGACTCGCCTGACTGAACATTTCATAAGAGAGATGGAGAATTGAAGAGGATTTATGCTGGTGTAACTAGACTGAAACTTGGTCCCAAGCCCATTTTGGATTAGTCGGCCATCCATAACTGTGTATGAATAAATAACGTCATTGGAAAGAGGAGATACACATGTACATGTAGGTGGCTTTAAGGTGCTTCTACTCACTTTGGTGTAAAGCTAACACAATTTTCGCAAACTTGAACAGAAATCTTGTTGCCTTTTTTTTGATACACACTGTACAGCATATACATGTATGCAGTTAAAGTGGCTAACCTGTGAAATATATGATGTTGCATGTTTGTCATTGTTCAGTGCACAGTGAAGGTAGGCAGGTAGGACAGCAAGTGGTGAAGCATCCACCGAATTTCCTGGATGTCTTGTGGACATGCTTTCGGCAGGAAGTTGTTTGCCATGTTTAGATGGACATTGTGGCATTTCTTGACTTATTTTCCTGTGTGCAACAATAGTTTTTTAAAGCGACCTTGTGCACAAGTTGTGGTGAAGGAATACATTTCCTAGTTGACAGCAATGTGGTCAAGGAAGTACATGTAGGGATAGGGCTGAGTCAATTCGAATAATTCACTATTCAAATATTCGACCTTCAATTTGACCAAATATTCAGTCATACCGACCGACAGATTGTTGATGAACAAACCATATACAAAATCAGGTCAAATAACACACACAATTGTATATTATGATTAATATAATAGCTTCTCACATCTAGGAGTATCTCCAGCCATGATTTACATGTAGCAAGATGTAAGAGATGAACAATACTTCTTGCCCTGTTTACTTTTTCTATTCCTTTTAAATTGTTTAATGCAATTATGTAATTTACCTTTTGAATCGTTGTAAGATTTCTGTCGCTTTTTGAATATGCTTAAAACTGAACACAAGAAGTTCCGTAAAATCATTAACTGATATTTCTTGGGGACACCTGAAATTTGGTACTAAGCATTGAAGTGCATGTTTAAGGTACATGTACATGTACACCTGTATGTACACGTACATATCAATTATCATGCAGGAAAGATTTCAAGAACTGAAGCTCTATCATACACTAAACTACATGTAGCTATGTCTGCGGTACATGTACACGTACATGAATGCACAACATTTATGTTGACAATCTTTGATTGCCTTCCTCTATAGAAATGAAGTGTATTTAGATGATGCTTTTAGCTTTTGCTTTGAACACAATTACGTGTATGTGCTTCTCGTTGCTTGTGCAATGATTTCTATGATCACCGATGACAATTGAGTAGTCCATGTAAAACTGAAACTATCCCAGTCATCGTGATGCTATGATTTCGAGCAGATTGAGTCCTTTATAAGAAAGCTTTATTTCTTACTGAAAGTACTGTCCTTCTGGAAATAAAAACATCCTGCATCACTACTTTGGGTGTTTTGACATTCCTAATGTTTGATCCGAAAGTTGTATCAATATGAGTAACATTTTGTTGTTTTCAATTGTTTAAAACCCATAGATTGATCAGGATCGTTTGAAGACTCATTGTTGCTTGATTGCTGCATGGTTACATATTTTTCTGTGAAACTTGTGCGTTTATGTGTGAAATGATTTCACAGACAATAAAATTCTCATGACTTTTTAAGCATTTTTTTTTTTGAAGGGACAGCAGGTACTTGGACATCCAGTTTCCCACATTCTTGGAGAACCCACCTGTCGTCACAACATGCTGTCATACCGACAATGGGTGCGGGTCGCAGAGTCCTCGCCTTGCTTGTCGCCACGTTTGCCTACTTGTTCATCGGCGCCTCCATCTTCTCAGCCATTGAGTCTGCCCATGAGGAGCAGATCAGACTGGACCTCTACAATCGTCTGGAAGCATTCGCAGAGCGCAACCCTTGTGTCAATGTCTCCGAGTTCCGAGACGTGCTGTCGGAGGTGTGGTATGCTGCCTCCATCGGTATGGAGAGGATGGTGGGACAGGAAAACTACACGTTACCATCATCCCGCTGGGATCTGGCCAATGCTTTCTTCTTCTCAGCTACTGTCATAACTACGATAGGTATGCTTGCTTTTTTTTGCTCTGTGTATTCCATGTATACCAGTACATTTGTAAACTGTTTCAATCGATGTTTTTGAAACGTTTTTGCAGCATTGCATTTGTCTGTGCTCCTTGATATGGGCATCGCACTCTTGTATTCTGGTGATTACATGTAATGTTGCACACTGACCATAAAGAGAGTTCTGTGAAAGGCTACCTGTGTTCTTCAAAAGTGAAGCCTGTCTGTGTTTGATGGCCCAGAAAGTTCACACACACGTAATAATGCTGGATGCTTTTGCATGATTTGGTGATGTCCAAGTTTATTTATCATTTGTTTCTGTAATACCATACGGTGTAGCAGGTGACTTCAATAAACAAGATATTGTGGTATAGCAGAATCCAATTGACAATAAGCACAAATGAAATTGATCATCTAAGCCACTTTGCTCACCTACATGTACATGTAATTATAACTCAGTATGAGCCCCTAGCTGGACCAAGAGAGAGCGTCACTTTCCTAGCAACAGAGGCTCCTTTGGTGGAAATCGCACGTAGCTAGTTCATGAATGACTGTGCAAGGCACGTGTTATGGTTGCACTGCTACCAACAAAATGAACGTTTCCCACTAACATGGCTCATCTCAACTGATAAGGGACTGGTTCGGTTTCTGTTCGAGGCAGATTGTAATTCCAGGTTTATTTTGAGCAGTGGCACAAATCTGTCATGGCTTTTGGGGGTAGTAGCGATGACCAAAATCCTGAAAAGAAAGTTTGCCTGGTAGTGGAATTGAATAAACCAGTCATACTGTCTGCACTGTTTGTTTAAATTACTACTACAAACTGATGTGCCCTACTTGAACACTAACTGAGCAAATGTGCATTTTGGGCAAAACGTGTCACCAAAAAGAGATACACTTTGGTTGTTCATGCACATTGTAGGCAATAAGAGAAAGACCAGTATTTGCCAGTTGGTAACTTTGAAGTACTCTGTGAAATACTATTTCTTTACCGTTTTTCTTCAGCTGCTAGCTCATGAACTGTTGCAGGAAGAGCAGTAACTATTTTCATGCGTCTTTCTTTCACTCCTCTGAAACTACAGGGTATGGCCACCTGTCGCCAGCCACTTCCTCTGGCCAGAATTTTTGCATAGCATACGCTTACTTTGGCATACCGCTCATGGCTGTCCTGTTGTCGGAGATCAGCTCCAAGTGGAAGCAGCGTCTGATAAATGTCGGGCATAATCTGGATACACGTCTAGCCAATGCCTTGAAGCGCGACAGGGTGCGCCGGGTGGCCATCGCCATCCTCCTGGTCATACCAGCGTACGTGATTGTCATTATCATCCCTGCCACTGTGTTCTCGTACATCGAGGGGTGGGACTTTCTGGTGGCTCACTACTATTGCTTCATTTCACTGAGCACCATTGGGCTCGGTGACTTTGTTGCCACTCAACATGACTACGAGAACAGAGCCCTCATATGGCTGTATAAGATATGCACCACCCTCTACTTGATCGCGGGGCTGGGTGTCATGGCTATTGTGTTTCATGGAGTACGGACAAAGAAGAGAAAGCCTACTCAGTACACTTTCCGACAGAAGTTTGTAAACATTTTGAGGAAGCGCCGAAAACCCTGGCTGGAGATTATGGACGACCAGGCCGATGCTATAGCCGAGAGTTTCCCAGTAGAAGGTGGTGTTATTTCTTCAGCAGTTGCAGCAGCCGCTGTAGCTGTAACAGTCAACACGCCCAACAGTAGCGAACCAACTCCCCCACAAAATGATCTTGACTCCTGTGGATTGTCATCAGATAACAACGACAGTGACAATGATTTTGATGACGAGGATTCCTTAGACGATCAGTGCCGATCTCAGCATTTCCCACAAATCCACAAAGAAAACAACACAGATGATATTCATCACAAAATGAGGCAATCGGGTGACTTCTTGGATCCTGCAAGTGAAGAGAACTCACCTTTTACATTCCGGAGTATTATTGCCAACAGTCACACTTCCATTTCGGCTGACGTAGATTCCGACGAAAATGAAGAAGGACCCCAAAGGCGGAAAGCTTTCAATGATATTGACAATCCCAAGCATTCGCGAAAGTCGAGTCTCCCGCAGAGGCTGGACTTCCGTAACTTTGGAGCACACAGGAGAAGCAACGATAGCACACCAGAGTTGAATCGCACTCAGTCTCAATCCCAAACACAGAAGAACCACCACAGTGATGGCAAGACAGAAGGCGGGGCTTTGGCTTCTAATTTGGCCAAGAAGAAACTCTGGAGTCCTTCAAGTAGTTACGCAGGTGAGGACTCCGGCATTCATGCAGCGTCCTCACAGAGTACAGTTGAAATGGAAAGTACTGTTTGAGATAGGCAATCTTTGGACTGCCTGTTTTAGATGTTACTGGTCACAGCACATGCCAAGAACCTCCCTTGCACCAAATGAGAGGTTCTTCAGGCAGAAACCTGTTGGGAAAGAGAAAAAAATGAAGAAATCTACAACGCTGCAAATGGGGATTCTCCTGGGGTTGTCAAGTTATAAAAGTACATCAAACTTTACTGTTGTCTTTGTACGACTGATATTGTACTGTTAAATGGACTACATGTACCAGGGGTACATTCATTAAATAAATAGTGTGGTACTGTAGTTGATTGAGACCTTCACTTGGCCAGACACAGGACCAATCGAAAGACCTGTCACAAGTAACAGCTAGCAAGGACAAAGGCATACTTGTGTTCATGTTCATTTGAATAGCTTGAGACGGTCTTGAGAGGCCTCGACTACGTCACTGACATTAAAGTACATGTAACAGTTGGCCAGTACTGCACAACATCACGGTCAACAGACTGTCATCCATTCCCCCTAAATATGAACGTCTGCTACTGTGGAGCAGGTGAGGCAGCTTTGTGATGTTTGTCATTTCTACTCATTCAAGTAGTGGTACAGGCTGGAAAAGGTCTGTGAGAGCAATTTACTGCAAGTCAGTAGTACCTGCCAGTGCACTGCAGCTGGCGTGCATTGGAGGACTCTTTGCATTACCAGTGGAGTGATTTTACTGCAGAGCCCAATAGAAGTACATGTATCCAGTGTACTCAAGAGGATTGTGGCATGTGGCTATGCTTATCAGTGTAATACACTAGCTGGATTAAGTTGACCTCCAGTTTTCTTTGCAGTTCGTTGAAGTGTACACAGTTTCTCCATTGAAGTGGTGTTGCCCTTAGTGGAGGGCGATGTACATGTAATAAACATAGCCACTTTTTTTAACAGGAATATTGGAGTGCATTGGAGTGTAAACAAGAGCAAGGAGTATGTACAAATGTCAGACTGATGTGAACCTGGTGCATGTTGTTGGAAGGTCACAAACCTAAACCTCCACATTGTTGACTGTGGAGTAAGTCCTATCGCAGCGTGTGTGTGAATGTACTATGTGCACTTCTAGTGATAAAGAAGCATATTTCATGCCGAATGCACAATTCAGTGCTTATTACCTTAATTTATTCCACTTTTTTATTGAAGCAAATGTGAGGTATACATGTACGTGTAAATATATTTGCACAAAATCACGTATGAGTAGATCAATTACTGGGCTCAGAATCTTTGGGGGGAAACACTGTCTGCGCTTTCACTTAAAACACACAATTTGTATGAATATTAAAGGATTTTAAATTGACACAATTTTGGTAATTTGATATGCAGAAAGACCACCAGGAGCAGTTTTTGTTATTTTAATACCAAAGCAAATCTGCATTTTTTGTTATTGTATTTTGTGAACGTTATATCTTTAGAAAACAAATTCCATTGAGGTCTCTGATCATTCCAAATCATCTCAAGTTTTGTTGCTGTTTTTACTTTATATTTTTGCAGAAGTACAGATGTTTATGTAAAGGTTGCAAAATAAATATAATGTACAGTTTAGAGTGCTTTTAAATGCAAATCAATGCCAGCAATTTTTGTAATTTTGTTACCAAAGCCAACTTGACAAGAGCTTGAATATTTTTGTAATTCCCCCAAATACTTTCAGAATAATAACAAATATTTCAAATCATTCCTTTCATACCATGTGCTCAAGGTTTTTTTACTCAATATTTTTGTAGAAATAGGCATTTATTTAAGGTTATGAAATACATGTAAATCAATATTATTTATGTACATATAAAGACAAATACTGATGCTTTCAGTGAGTTATTTGAAGAAAAGTGTAACTTTCATCTCATTTAACAAATTTTCAAATGCTGGACTGACCGAAGTATGCAGTTTTGTTGGATTTTAATGACTGTCTTTCAGCAAAGCCAAATGCATGATTTTATTGCAGCCTGTATAATCCAGAAATATTTTTAAAAGGGAAGTTTGCAAATTGAAATGAATATGCAACTACATTGTACAATTGGCATGATGTTGGACTGTGTAAAAATTTATACAAGTATGTATGAAATTTGTGTTGCCAAGGAAAAATGTGTAAGGACTGGACATTGGCAGTACACGTCACTTGCATCATTATTGCCTAATACTAACTGTATAGTATTCACGAAAACTACACTTATGCAAATTGTAGTTCAATACATGTACATGAATATATAAATGTAAATTAAACAACTCCACACAAACTAAGTTGTAATGTGTAAGGTGGCTCTATTTACCTCATTAGAAAGTATGCACGTGCACATAACATTCTCCAGAAGCAGTCATTCATTAGCATTAGGATAGAGAATGGGTGCTCTTAGAAGTGTATGACTCATTCTGTGCACAGTCCAAAGCTGGTATTTAGAGTATGTCGAAATGAACCGCCAGAAACTTGCCAGTAACCTGCAGTGATACCTGTAACATTTTACCATTCCAATTTATCTGTCTTTTTGTGTAAATACAAAAATACCTAAATAAACACATTATAGTGTAGATGTACATGTATACATGTTATTGATTATGCATCCCAGAGCCACTGCCAAGTCTACCGTACTGTTCACATCTAGAGGTACATGTAGAAGCTTCAAGGAACATTACCACGTATAATGAATGGACGAGGGTGCATACGTGTACATGCACGGTGTACATGGATATGGACATGTTACGTACATTGTGAGAAGGGCTTGACAAATGCATTGCACTACATTATGTGGTAAATGCCACACATGCATGTAATTGCATGCTAGCAAACTGTTACAGCAAATGGCGGGTGGAGTGGGTTAGATATATCAGTAAGCTCTTTTTTCAGAAAAATGTTACTTTTTTGTGTGAGTTAACGGCCCAGAACTACTTGTCAGTCAATGTAGAGTTTTGATACTATTTAATGTTGCAGTAAATAATAATAGAGTAATAAAAAAATAACCTTTTTTTTAATTAAGATATAAATCTAGGAAATTTTATGTTGGCCTTTTGGAGGTACATGCACATATACATGTATTGGGTTTTTTTGTCCAACCATTTTTTAATATCAGCCTTTTTTTTTTTAATAAACAAAAAGGAAAACCTGAGAGGCAAAAATGTCCAGTATAAAAGTGAAGTGCAATACAAATTTTGGAGATTTGTAATTTTATCCGAAGACCACTTATGCGTGGTTCCTGCTGATCATTGGTTTGTAACAGGCGTGCACACCAAGCCATGAAGTTAGTTTGTGGGTGTTCCTTGAACTGCTGGAGATTTTTGAAGTAATTGTGAGGACTGCTCTTTGCATGCAATGAATTATTTAAGTACTGAATCTAATGTAAATCCAATTACAAAATACAAACGTACAGTTGAGGGCGGGGATATCTATACAACTAGTGGATCTTTAGGAGTGTCTAAAGCCCTACCCACTGGTAAAACTGTTTCCCCTTTTTTTTCTTTTTTTTTTACTGGGAAATGGGGCAGGGACCAGTCAAGTGAAATCAACATCTAGTCAACACTTACAGTTGAATAGAACAATAGAACATGATGTGATCGACAACGCACCAATCAGATGACAGATTTATGCAGGTACTGTATGCATATACATGTACTATGTATTAAGTACGGTACATTGTGTGGGTAGATTCAGATTTGCTTAAGAGGGGGCTGAACTTAGGTTACTGCTTCTGCGACCCACCCTTGTGTGGTATTATGTTGACATTTCATTTTTATACATGTAGGAAAGCACTGAATGCTATTTGCATAGAATTAAACACTGCCATTTGAGTTGTGATCATTCCAAATCTGTTCATTTCTTAGCGATACAGTTTAGTACCAGTTAACTACCTGACCACATGTAATTTATGTGATTTGTTACTTTGTGATAGTTCAATGTATTTTGGTATATTCTATACTGGCTTTTTTCATTGGACAGAAATGCTGTCATTTACTAGTTATACCTTGCACAGTATATCTATATTAAGCACATATCAACACTTTGTACAAGTTTCCCTCAAAAATAAAAAGATAACCCTCCTAGTTCATTTCTCCAGCTGGTATGTGTCTGTGACTTCATTTTTCAGTTTCTTACTACAGGGTTGAGTCAAGCTCAGTGTTTGGAAGTACAGTGTACGTATAGGCTTTTAGGTTCATGCCTTGCTGCTTTTTCCTTCTTTTCCGGGGGGGGGAGTGGTGGGTAGGATAGATTGCATAACACAGGCTTCCTCTCAATCAATACCTTGCAAATACACAACAGTCGATCCAGAACCTTTTCTGGGGGGTGAAAAGGATGAATTTTTAATGTAAACGTGAGTGGGCTTTCTGATAGGTGAAGCTACATTTTATGGAGATGGCACAATTTTAGAAGGCAAGGGGATAGATTTCTTGCGGGGGGCATGGCCCCAATGCCTCCCCCAGCTTCCCTAAGACAGTGTGGTGAAACTTTGCTTTTATACCCGTACAATTGCACATTTGGCAGCTGGGGCTTACAATACACACCGGAGGTAGACATGCACTGTGGCAAACAACAGATTGAGGACATCTCAGTGTGTCCTAACTGGGTATTTAAAACAACTTATGAACCAATTTCAAATCCACTTGATTTGAAACCAGACAAAAAAGTCTGTTTAAACCAATGTTTAATACACATACTTTTCAACTGTGTATTTATTCAATAAGAATTATATAAACTGTATCAACAGTAATCAGGCACATTTTTTTGCTATAAAAGGTATTTTCCACAATGAAAAGTTACGGTTCCGACTCCATACTAGTATGTAAAATCATTTTAAAAAGGTCCGGCCTTTGAAAGCTATGCACACTTTAGCTCATGTTATTAAATGGCAAATGCTTCAAGAAAAAAAAAAACATTTTAATGAAAATTTCAGACTTGGAAGTTACAGGGTTTACCAAGTCTTAGAAGCCTGGAAAGTTGTCACTTGCCATTATGAAATTCTGTGGACCTGTATTATGGTATAGTATCTGATAACAATAGGAAAGCATGATTTCTGAGATGATGCAATGTTGCACACACTGACGTTGCACATACCCAATAAGTGCTACACCTAGCAACGATTTTGAATGTCACAGTTAATTATTGGCTCACTAAATGTAACAGCTAATGGTATTTATAAAGCGTACACGTCCACCATTGCTGGTGCTCGAGACAAGACATCATTCCCAACCCTGCTCAGCTCACTGGGCTCAGAAACACTCATAAAAACCATCTCAGCTCCACGGGGAGTGTACAACTTGATGCTGCCGTGTTAGGTGCCAATGGCCCGATAAGCTCCCAATCATATCCCTGGGTGGGGAAAAACGACTGGGGTGGCTGCTGGATTTGAACCCCTGGCCTTATGATCAGTATTTACAAACCCTAGGCCATATGCCTGCAAGATCTATAAGATCATGTGCTTATAAAGACTTTTAAATATGCTTACACTGAAACTTGTTAGAAACAACACCCAATAGTAAACTTACTACCTAAATTCACACGGGTATCGCTAGACCATTTTGAATGGGGGGTGCCACACGCAAAACGAGTGTACTGCATCCCCCTTCCTTTCATCTTCATTCTCCCTGATTTTGCCACCCGAAAGTAACCAAAGGGGGAACGCCCCCCTCTTGCGATGCCTGTGATGGGGAGTCTGACTAAAATGGTAGTGAAAGCTGAATATACAGGCAAAGCCCACATTAACTCATCTGGGAGAAAATTTCTGAATGTAAACAAAGCAACAGCCAAAAATGTGCAACTAAAGGGGCCCTGCAGTACCCCCCTTCCCTGGCCTAGTGATGTGGTAAGTTACAATTCAATCACAGCTCATCTGGGGAGGGCCAGGGGAGGGGGAGGATTTCTAATATGTAGCTTCATCTCCGTCGCAGGCTTTGTCTTCAAAATCAACAGTTGCTTGTAGGACAACAGTGTTAAAGTGTGGCATTTTACACACACTTCTCTATTTTTTGTAGTGCCAATTTAGGACTTATTATTAAGCTATGAACTTCAAAGTCAAGTGATAAAGTTGAGACAGAGGAAAATGAGTACTTGAAAACACCCTTTGTCTTATAGTGCATCAAAAACTATTCAAATCAGTAACTTCCGGGCCTGTTACCACGACAATCATGATTACTATCTATATATTGACAAGAATATAAAATACAATTAGTGCTCTGAAACATGTAATTGCCGAGCAAACTGAGTACCTTCTTCAGGGCACGCAGATGATTACTATCTATCCCTTGTTACTTCAACAATTGTGACCCTACTGACTACATTTAAACTTTTATTATTGTAAAGTATATAATAAAATAAAATAATATATAATAAAAATGGACTATTTCTAATGTTATTCCTGCAAATATTATCTTTTCTTGCACAATACTGACCCAACTCATGTGAGGGTGAAAAAAGGTATCAGAGAGGTAGTCAAGTCACAAGTTAGATCACAAGATAGGAAGGATGGCCAATGACAAAAGGTAGGCGACAATCAAATGCCTTGGTTAGTTTGTCACAGATTTGTCAATAGTGGCTTCATGGCTTGTAATTATCTTGCGACAGCTTACAAGGGCTTGACTACATCTCTGAAGAATATTGCAGTTTAAGTCAGGGAACATTAACCACTTCGTGCCGGGGCATTTTTCATAGTTGATGATGCTGGGCCGGCATGACTATCATTTTTTCCATTTTCAAAATCCTTCAAAAATTCATCATTCCATTTAACGGTCATTTATAGCCGCACGAAGTAATCTTTAGGCACTACTCTAAGTTGACAGGTGACCTTCACTGACGCCCAAGTATTTCAGCCAGGCCTGCAGCCTTGTAAACAGAGCCCAGATTGTGTGGTGTTATACAACTGTCTCTGGTTCACGAACCTGGCTCAGTGCACTGCTGACCTCTTTTCAATAGGGGCCAGATTAGGGTGCAGCGGTGCTGTGTGGCTCATCCCTGCGGTGGTGGAGCGCTTTTGTCCCCGGTGGTAATCCGCTTGCTCTCAATGTCCAAAACCCTGGTACACGGTTTCAAAACGACGCTGGATTATCACCACTTTTGAGAGTGAAAAATGCCGGTAATGCCCAGCAGCCTGGTCTTTTGTTCAGAGTACGGTCTTTTGTTACAGGGCCCTGTTTCCTTAGTCCGAGTTCGGAGACCCCAGCCTGGCAGGTAGTAGTTAAAGCTCGTCACAGATCTTTGTAACAGATCACCTCTTCAAATGAAGCACTCATTCACTGGTTCCAAGCACCAATGCGAGCTGACAGTTCAGGTCAAAGGTGCAGATATAATTGAGAAATAAATTAGGGTTGTGATTTGGTAATTATTACCAAATCACACCCCCCTGGCTACAGATTAATTAAGCAACAGAATTAGGCACTTTTACTATCTTGGTACATGTACCACACTAATGACCCAGTGGTAGGGGCACACTTGCAACCTTCAACCAATAAGGTGTGCATTTGCTGAAATATACAGCCCTCAATTTTTAAGAACAAATAGCTGAGTGTTGTGCCGCTGCAGTAATGCGATCTCATAGCATAGACACCATCTTCATAAAAAATTACAAATTCAATTTCAGGTACATATACGTGCCCACGCAATGTGCACATTTCTAAACTTGCACATGTTGATCCAACCATGTTCCAAATAAGATGCAGCTGTGACAAAAAATTTGATGTCCGAAATGCAGACACGTGGCAATCTGTGGAAGTGATATTATTTGAGAGAGACCCATAAACACTAAAGTTGGCAGTTCACACATTAAACGTCTGATTTTTTTTTCTTCTGAATAACCATCATACCTAGTCAAATTAACTAGCTCATGGTGTCCCTTGTGAAGGCGCTTAGAATGTAGTTTGGCAAGTGTAGACTAGTTCATAACCACAGTATCTCAAAATAACGTTAACTGCACACATAAAAAACTGGTGACGTTCTTGCACCAGACGTCCACGACAGATTTCATTTGAAATCAACAAACCATTTGATTAGGGGGAATTCTTTGACTGCAAGTATTACGGTAATGAAAAGAGTATTAACAAATTAAAATAAGAAAATACAGAAGTCAAAAGAGTGCCATAAATGTCACACAAGTACCAATGGGGAAAACAAGCCTGCATTTGATGTATACCTCATGGAGACATTCCCTTAATTTGTCTATGAAATTTCTAAAAAATCAAATGTCCTACATGCATTAAAACAACCAAACATTCTAAAATCTTCTAGATTACCCAAATTTTGCCATCCAACTAAAACGAAAACAAATTTGGTCATTTGAACCAAACAGCTTCATACTAACACAGTTCCCTAATGTCGCGTGTCTCTCTATGGTATCAGTGCTAAAAAAATCCCCCCACAGGTACATTCACTATATAGGCCTCCTGCTTGGTGAAATTTAATGTAATCTGTCAAAGTAAACTTTGTCAACATTTGACAAATGAAGCTTGTTTCATTTCAATCAACTGGAACTGCATGCTCTCTTGCCTTGACATGGTCCTGGGTGATGACACACACAGAGAAATCCTCCATGACAGAGACGCACTGGTTGACAATGAGATAATGTACTATCGGAAAAATGCCAGTTTTTCCAAAAGATACTCCTCTGTCAACTCCTCAGTAGACCGAAGTTCAAAGACCTGTAATCGAAAGGGCATGCTACACTTGAGGGTTGGGATTTATTTAGTTGATTCTATTTATATCTGATCATCCAACAGCACATTTAGCACCAATTGCAGGAGGATAATGAGTGAAGAAGACAATAAAGAAATGTTCAGTTTTAGAGGTGGGAGGAAAACCCCGAATAAATGTTTCAGGGTAAACCCGTGGACTCAGGTAGGGACTGAAAACCCAATCCTTATGTGGACCGAGCCAGATTTGAACCCAGGCCCCCAGAGGTGGAAGGCGAGGAAAGAAGACTTTGAATATGCCAACAGCTAAATAAGCCACAGGTACATATAGTGTATTGCACTGATTTCATGCTAGAATGTACAGTAGTGGCGTGCACGAGGGATGGCTGGATACTGCATCATTTCCTAAATGATGCAACACTTCATGACACAAAACCTGAACAGAATTAATGAAACTGAAGTTAAGCACTGAGCATCCACTGAACTCCACAGGTTTACATGCTCTGCATAAATGCATGTGCAACATTCTGAGAACAGGACATCAGTCAATAAGGGGTGACCCCAAAACAGCTGAAATCTTCGTAGAGAATAGTACCTTTGTTGCCCCTGCTTCCCCGACCAAGGAATTTTTGGTTCCTGCATACATCATCTGTAGTTCTGGTTTACATCCTTAAAAGAGAAAGGGAAGAGGTGACATCTTCTCTTTGAAGGCTCTTATGTCTTTTGTTTGAGCTTTTTTAACACCACAAGAGGTACGTGTATGTGAACATTTTCGGCAAACACATGCAAAATATTTTCGTGGAAATCATACCCATTCATTTTCTGCTTTGGTTTAAACTGTACATTTTTTTATCATTCTCCAGACACAGAAGAGCCATGCCAGATACGCCATTTACCCCCCAGATTGAACGGGGGGGGGGAAGAAATGGAAGTGAAACCAAACATATGAGCAGGGGTCCAAAGTCCTTGCTCTAGATGTAAAATTCTGTATGAAAGGCAATACAAAAATCATCTGAGAACTGAAGAAACGACACGGTACCCCCCCAAGAAACTGGTATGTATTTGTGTTTGTCCCAGCAACACATGTAGATCTTATAACTAGCTGTACGTAGCAATCCGGATTGGCCTAAAATTGGGAAAGTAGTACATGTATGTATGCTTTATCAGGTTCAGATCTTTTTAAATATCGCATGCAAACTTCAATCATGTCATCACAGATACGCCTCTGTTTTAAAATGTTTTGACATGTTCTGGTAATTTCATGGAATAAAAAGGGGAGGACAAAAGAAAAATATAGAGTAGTGACTATTACCAATTGGAGAAATGAAAATGAAGATAAGTGGATAAGAGACTCGTCCATCGCTGTGCTTGTAACAGTAGCTCAAGTAGACGTAGCGAGGTTGGGCGGATGGTAATTCAGCCTGTAACTCGTCCACTGAAATGTCCTGAAAAAAAAAAATAAAGAGTCGACCAGACAGAAGGTGACATTTTTTGTAAATACTTTTTTACTTTTCATAAGACCTATATATATCTCATAAATACTGAGATTCCTACTCATTATTTATGCCTGATTGCTCATATCCCATAGTAGCGTAATTTCAGGCTGAATTTATTCGGGGTAATCCCTTTCCTCGCCCCACAAACCATATGCTGGGGGAGGAACATGATTACCATGCACGCTTTGAAAACTACTGCAAATGATAACACCCAGTTTGCCCTGGGAGAGGAGAGTGACTCTAGAAAGGTATACTCTTTGTATGCTTGTGAATTTGTTCTTGTTTTTTTAAAGGATGGTCCCTCTTTTGCTTTCAGTTTCAATATGCTAGGGTGTTATGAAAGGAGCTGAATATGATTTTGAGGGTAAATTGTTCCCCGACCCAAAGAGTCTGGGCTCAGACTTATACATGTATTTGGTTGAACTGACCAGGACATCAAAAGGCATTCCAAATTTCCAAAACAATGCAGATGCACCCACATTTTGCATGAGTTGTGTCTCACACACTGCAATTCGCAATGAAACTCATTGAACTCAACTCTGTGTGCTTCACAACCACAACAAAATTTTTAGCTCCCCAATATCCAAACTGTACATATGCATGTGATGCACAGTGGCTCTTCAGAAGTTTCATCCAACCAAGAGTTGGCTGTGTAAAGAGTGCCAACCTATATGCCAAAGTTCAGGGACATGTGATTTGGTTCAGAATGCCTCTAAATCTGCAATGCCGAAAACATTCCAGTAAGTGTGATACTCCTTGTTTTACCTTTTACACTAACATACATAATACAGTAAACTCCGACTAAGTCAGCATCGTGTAACTCGTCATATTGTCTAAGTCGGCCTTTTGACAAAAGTCCCGATCATCTGTAATGCATTTCCATCGACAATTTCATTTCAAGTTGGCATTTATAGCTTGTCATTTAGTATAAGTCGGCATGTCTTTCTCAGTCCCTTTTCCACAAAACCACAAAAAGTCCTCTGTGTAAGTCGACATTAAAAAGAATCATGCTTTGGTATCGGTTTCCTTCACCCCGGTTGCCAAGAAGTGTCAAGTGACAAGTCCCACACTGCTTGACTGATGTCTTTTTATTAGCAGCACAGGCTATGGTTGATAATCGGCAAGCATGAGTACATCAATACCAGTAACCCCTTTAGTGCTACACGCATGCGCTCTGTCCATTTTGGGGGTCGCCTTGTTGATCAAACTTAACCAATGCACATGTGCGGATGAGTGTATGTTTTCTGTATCGTAACTGTATCACGTACATGTACATGTATGTACTGCACTGTCGAGTCGTGATGTGATATGGAAGTGGCTTGCCATCCTTACTTCGTCATTGGGGGCACATGATCAATTATCAAATTTGCAGCCGGTGATAATAATTAAGAACGAATTTGCTGGGATTGACCATGGAGGTAGAGATAAACCAGCGTAAATCAAAGCCATTGAATCAGTGCAAAGATTCATAATGTTGTCCATTAAGCAATACATATGTACATGTATGTGTAAGTCAGCAAAATGACGACTTACATGTAACTTACATGTACATGTAAGTTATGCATGCGCATAAGTCATCATAATTTCTTGAGTCCCGAGACTGCCGGAGTTTACTGTATTTCCATTTTCTAGTCAATAACTAAATGGGATTTCTATTAAGTACTTTAAACATCCTGATGTCTTACGTCAAATTCCTCGTCCAGGACTACCTCCACCTTTTGCTCTAGTATTTTAACTGAAATGACACAAAACAAAATTTGAAAGTCAGAAAAAGAAAATGAGCTAAGGTCTTCGTATACTGCCCGAAGATATACCCATTGAATATACAAATATACCATCTAATCACTCTCCCCAATACATGGTGCGACTGCACTGCAAGAAAATAAGACTTCCACTCATCCTTCAAGTTTCATGGTTGGTTGTTGGTGGCAGAAATAGCATCCATAAAATGGGGGGTGCCTGGCACTAATGAAAAGAGGAGGCTAAATGGAAGTGAACCAAACCATACAAAGGAGCACTATAGTTTAGAGGATGTATTTTTAAGTGTTAATTTCTGTCTTTCAAGCTATTAAATAACCAGTTGGGACTGAACGAAAAAATAGGGAAGTTGGAAAAGATATTTTCTCTCGCTCTAAAAACAGATTGGATTTCATGATTTGCCAACAGTGGCTTTTCTTTAATGTCTTTGGGATACATTTACGTGTAAATAATGCAGGTTTCACGTCAGGAATTATAGCATTGTGCAAAAAAAATGCTTCTTTATCATGCAAAGAAAAGAATTTCATTTGGGGACAGATGGGAGTTCCGTGGCACTTAAAAACATTTATTATTTGTACATTGGTAACTTTCCCTCAGTGTTACAGATGTTGATGTGGAATGCGCAGACATTGCTGACATTGTGTTACAGCGATTTACCAATTCTCCATCATGGAGACCTGGCTAAAATCTTACAAATATCAAAACTTGCAAATTAAATACAGAAAAGCACATTAAATGCCCAAGTAAAGACGTACATGTCAGGACATGAACTTTCACCCTACCTCCCAACATGTGAGAAACAGTTTGTGAAGTGAAACTGTAAGATAATAAATTGTAAGCCTTTAGATTTAAAAAATCTTTCCACGAAAACATTACTTACATATTAAAGCCGCATTTGTCTTTTTTTGTCTGAATCTGAACTTCTTCAGTTTTTCCTTGACTTCATCATCAATAGTACACACTGTTAATCCTGAAGCCTGCAACAAAAAATGGTAGGTTATCAAAACAATTCTCATGAGGACCATGCCAGTACATGTACCATAAACGTGACTGAGCATTCAGCAACTGTTTCAATTTACTCTCCTCGTTTTGGGATGCCCACCAATATTGACAGTAGGGCCCAAGTTTTGAACCTGATCAGTTCTTAACGGTGGTAAGAATGTCAAGGCTTCCCCTTCAGAAAACTACATGTGTAATAGTGCAGACAGACCTACACGTAGTTTGCCCACACTCCAAATGGCCCCTATTGTACATCTTTAAAAAAATTACTTTGGCACTAATTGAACATGACTGTGGATAGGTTTCACAGGAGTGAAGTAAACTACACTTACTGGAGTGTTTGATCCACCTTGGCAGAACGGCAAACCCAAAGCTGGGGTTAAACATGGTTTGTTACTGTTTAATTTGTAAACTTTCTCAGAATTTAAGGTAGTGGATGTTTGATCACCAACCTTTAACCAGGAATTTCGCTGCTTTACTTACATGACATGTGCTGTGAGTGTTTGGGGACTGAGAAATTTCATTGTAATGAATTTCATTTCAGTCTGGTTCCATGCCTTCAATGATAAATTGTGACTTGCATGACTTGGTATTTATGAGAAGGGATTTTGAACAACTTTAGAATTTATTCCCTTTTAAATTGTCCATCTAGCCCTGAAACAGAAAAAAAAGAACACTAAGCACTGTAACAGGCTTATACGTTACAAACAGGTTTGGATGGCATTGACAGGACATGGGTGACAATGCGAATTACAGACAAATACAAACACAAACGATTAGGTTTATTTAGAGAAGCCATCTTGCCAACAACAGCACGGCTTTTCCCATAATACACTTGACTTTGCATAAGTATGGAGTGCACAACTGGACAATTAATACATGTATGTACAATTACACCGCTACAGCATAATTCCTTCCATTACATGTACATGTATGGTTGGATTGGCCAGATCTGCCAGCTGTATACAGTCAGTCAGTGGACATGTTAAACCTTCTGTGCACAATGAGTGTCCAAGTCATTGCTAGAGTGTCACAAATCACTTAAGTAGTCTTCTCATTCATGTCTTTCTTGCACTTGTCCATGTTCATAAACTGGTTAACCATGGGTTAACTTACAAAGTGTCACAAATTTGTTCCTTGTCTGTGAGCTTCAACTCACTCCTTTAACATTGTATAGGCTTAGCCTTGAAAGCAGTGGTACAGAAATTGTGAAATATTTAAGTGTCTTATTCTTAATTCAGGCCAACAGTTAATCCAGAATTTGACAAGATAAATGGAGGAGGGTTCATTGCATACATGTAACTTCAACAAATGTCAATAAATACCCAGCACTTCATGCACGAGGACGAAAGCCCAATCGTGCCACAGACAAATTAGTGATGTCAAGGATGTCCGTGAGGTAGGCCTATACCATGATTAAATTACAGATTTTGAAATACCATGAATACACACCATGTTTTTCTCTCTTTTGAGAAATGCAAGCTCTTGCAGCTAGGCGCTTGGCTTCTGTTCACGCCCCAAAGTTAGACTTCCCTGGTCAGGCTGATTGATTAACAGGCGAAGGTCGACGTGACAATGATTTTTCACTAGCAGCCGTGTTCGAAATGGGAATTGTGGCTACGGCTTTATGAGTTTATGCCACTAGCACTCTACACAGAACGGCCATAGTCGTAGACAACAATGCTCAATTTGAACAGTTCAGGGCCCAGCCGGTTGGCCAAAGACGTGTTCGTCTCCGTTGAGGCTTCGTGTAGGAAACCAATCCTCGATTGTAAGCCTGAAGCGTTTAATTTTTAAATTAAATACTGTAATGTTAGACTCTTTTGCATCTCACTTGATGTTTTGTGGCACTATCAGACTTACTATTGCGCTTATAACCTCAAAGTCAGGAAGTAAAAAAAACAGTTGAAGCCGCAAACGGAGCCTAAGTCGAGTATTGGAAAACGGCCCAGGCCTATTTGTTGTTCGTTTTTTTTGAAATAAGTCCTTTGCCGGACTTCTCATACTATTTGAAGTTGTCTTTCGGGCATGGGAACTGACTATTTACTAACTCAGCCTGACTAAAGAGGGCGCTTGTTTTTTTCGCGCCGATTTCGACACGTGAATGATTTTGCCGGGAAAGTGGAACGACTTGTTTTGTGCTTGTGCAGGGTATTTAAATTGTTAGCTTGTTCCGTTGAAAACAGGCGGTTGAGTTTTCTAATTTGAAGTCAATGATGTCTGGTTTTGACAACCAAGGAATATTTTATTCCGACAATTTTGGATCGGAAGGAGTTCAAGAAGATGGACAAGCTAATCGAATTGCAGTCCAGCGGCGATTTAAGGATTTTTTACGAAAATTTCATGATGCAAACTTCACTTATAAATACAGGTAGGCAAAAACGTGCGTGATGGTACAGGCCCAGCTGCCACCCAAATCTGAATTTTGGCCTAAATGTTAACAGTCATGTTTTTGTTTCGTTTTCAGGTTAGGGCCTAAGCCTATAACAAGATACTTTGATAAGCCTGCTTCCATTTCGACGTGGTTTAGGCCCCTACCCCCAGAACTGTTGAGTCCGACGTCCCCTCCTCTCCCATGAACCCCACAGAAAAAGAGCCTTTTTCGCCGTAGGCTATGCATGACATTTAACAGGGCACAAAGAACAATTCCATTCGAGTTGTGTACCCATACTTCATAGAAATGTTGCTTCATTTCCCCTCATGCATAGCCTACGGCAAAAAAGGCTCTTTTTCTGTGGGGTTTGTGGGAGAGGAGCGGACGTCAGACCCCACAGTTCTGGGAGTAGTTTAGGCCTCAGCCTATTCTTCCTTGACGTGATGATGTCTTTCTGATTGATACTATGAACATGCCTAACTTTAAGTCGGTCACGCTTACGCATGTTGGCATGGATGGTTAGGTGGCAACTTTAAAGTGTTTAGTATGTTTAGGGCCGCATGTGTGTCGGTTTGACATTAGTGACATAGGCCTATGTCTGGAAAATGAATAGCACAGTTAACAACTGCATTTATTTTAGGTGCAAACGCTTTAATATCACTCCAGACAAATGGAGGGGGAAACATACCGGTATTTAGGCCTATTATTACAAAAGCCAAATGACAAAGAGTCACATGTTTCTATGGCGAAGCCTCATTTTCATTCATAAAACCCTGGGCAAACAGTGCATCCCGTGCCGCACAGTCTCGGCAATGCAGACTGGAGAAAATGAAGGTTATTTGCATTCTGCATGGGACAAAACCATATTTTGGGGGGGGGGAACAGTAGCAAATAACTTTCACAAAGGGAACCACAATTCTTATGGGAAATACGGTTAGAGAAAAGCCTACTTGTTTACTGCATGGTTTTGGACATGCATGTACCCATACGCTTACACCACGTGGCCTGTGTCATTCAAAATACTCGCATTATAATTTTTTGCCAGCTGCCCTAATTTTGCCAGACATCAGAGTTGCACCGATCGCAAAGTCACCAAAACAAATTACATCAATTTTAAATAAGATTTCACTTGGAAACCCTATTTCCAGAATAAGGCACTCTCCGTGTGCCTCACAGTTGCAACTTTTCATTGCTATGTAATGCTATGGGAGTCTGAACGTGCCTGGTTACTCTGTCTAAAACTAATTGAATTGATTGATAACTGCATCAAACTGACACCTAGGCCGTCAGTGCCTTGGCCTAACTGCTAAAGTTTAACATTTTAACTCTTAATAATAAATGCCATTGTCCTTTTTTTGTTCAGAGATGACCTGAAACGCCACTATAATCTTGGCCAGTTTTGGCTGGATGTAAGTCTTGATGATTTGGCCAGCTTTGACGAAGATCTCGCCGACAAGCTCAAGAAGAATCCCACAGAATTTTTGCCATTTGTGAGTGGAAATACAGAATTAGCAAGTCTGGAGGGATTGTTATTTCAAATCATCAGTTACACTTGCACTACAAAGTGATGTACATGTATACAATAGAATAGTTGAGTACACTAGGCCCTATAACATTGTACAAAGTCCGTAGACTTTTTTCACATGATACGATGATTTGCTAGCCCCGTGGTGTGGCTCATATACTGGACTACCTCCGTAGTTAACCACATGGTACCATTCACTTTATGTGTGGAGAGCCCTCATTGCTAAGAGCCCGCAAAAAACGAGATTGGAAATTTTTTCCAAGTTTGAAAGTCAGTACTACACAAATTGACAATGCTACCAGTCCCTTAAAAAAATTCTTTAGTACCTTTGGCACTCTAGTTGCTTTTGCTATTTTGAAGCAAAGTCACCCGAAAACTCCTATGGTAGCAGGCTGGCAGCCATGCTATTCTGTGGGTCAAGCACAGTGCATGCGCAGAAGGTCTTACCTACATGTATGGCTGTTGTGTGTCTTGTATTTGTTAACAGGATCTCAACAAGGTGTAAAGCGTATCGACAAGAAAATAATATCAAATCAGTGCTCTGAAATATGTGATTGCCGAGTTTTCGGTAACTGAGTACCTTCTTCAGGGCAAGCAGATTCAGGTCTGAATGAACGCGGAAAAATCCACGTTCATTCCCCCTGGATGCAGTGTTCCAAGTTCAAAAATGACGCACTGCTCCAGTTCCTTATGCTGTACATCAGATGACGTTTTCTGCGTGCTGTGAACAGATAAGACATACAACAGCCACCACTGAGTGCAGGGCCCATGACCCCTAGCCTAGTTGAAATGAAAGGAGAATGAATAAAAACTTCACTCTAATTTCAAACTGACTGATGAAGCTAATCATCATTCTATGGCTTATTTTTAGTTTGAAAATGCAGCTAAGGAGATGGCAGATGAGGTTACCAGGCCACGCCCAGAGGGGGAGGAGGAAGTGGAGGACATTCAGATCATGCTGAGCTCAGAGGCCAACCCTATATCCATCCGAAACTTGAAGGTAAGGAGATAAATTTGGAAAAACCTCAGTTTTTGTGCTGCCCCAAAGATAATATCCTTAGTAAACTGGTTAGTTGTTCTTTCTTGAAGGTAGCAATCGTACAGTGAACTTTTCAACACCAAATTAAAAGGCCCAATGCTGTTGAAAAGTTGAGTGTACTTAGATATGTAACATCCTTAACCCTAACAATCCCCAATCAGCCGAACTCCATTATCAGGGTTTGTTGCAGTGTTATAGCTATGCTGGTAAGTGCCAGTCAGGGATCTCCACCACAGTGTTCTACTGTCCAGCACTGAGCTTGATGAAACAGCCGACCAGCACAAAAATCCTTAAAAATTCCAGAAAAAACAGTCAAGATGAAAATTTCATATTTTCACCTGGCAGAATTAAAAAAAAATTGAATTTTTAATCAATTTGGAAAGAAAAAAATGCTGAAAAAGTGATCTAGAGCACCCCTAAGTGGGCCCCCTGGACCCCGGCCATGACCCGCAAGACTCTGGTCGCTTTGTTCCCTCCATTCACCGTTACTAAATTGTCCTGCACTAAAATATGGCTGGCTATAATGCTGGTGTATTGGAATCTGTAAGGATGACCACTGCCCTAATAAACTGACTGCGTTTTTTGTGGGATTGTTTTTGTGCACAGTTTACTTACTTACTTACTTTCCTACTTTGTCATCGTAGGAATTAGGGTTGAGAAATTAACATTTGTATCAAATTTGATTTTAAGAATTTCTTTTCAACCAGTCTGACCAGGTTTCCAGATTGGTCAAGATACCGGGCATTGTTATTGCAGCTTCGGCCATCAGAGCAAAGGCAACCAAGATTACCATTCAGTGTCGTAGCTGTCGTAACTTCATCCCCAACCTGTCAGTGAAACCGGGACTAGAGGGCTACACCATGCCGCGCAAGTGCAACACGTAAACACATGCAGATATTTTTCCAATTTTCGTAGCATTTGAAAGCTAATTTATTTCATTATTAGCCTGGCTTTAATGTTTCGTATATTGCTTTTAAAACTGATTCATTTTATTTCAGAGCATACACTTTTTCCAATTACAAACAGTTAATTTTGATGTTGTAAGCAGTAACTGTTTTGATTGTTGCTCATGGGTTTACCATTATGATGATGTGTTCTTTTCACAAACACCCATGTCCGTCGATTCTCAAAAGTATTTATCATGATGGAAACATGAGCGTTGTCGTTAGAGGTCACAGTTGTCCAGTTGACAGGGCAACCTCAGAAACTGTTCCATGATGCCCAGTGTCAAAAGGAATAATGCTGCTCTTTGTAATAATGGCAAGTCTGGCAATCCTAGACAGCCATCTCTTTTTTTTTAGGGGGGGGGACAAATTCGAAAGGATTATGATAGTGAATAGTGACAGGGGAGATCAATGCTTTTTCTTTCTTGTTGTCTTGACAGAGACCAAGCTGGCCGGCCATCGTGTCCCTTGGACCCGTACTTCATTGTACCAGACAAGTGCAAGTGTGTGGACTTCCAGGTCTTGAAGTTACAGGAGTCTCCTGAGGCTGTACCCAATGGCGAATTGCCAAGGCACATCCAGCTGTACTGTGACAGGTGATTTGTTTCTTTGATAGTCACTTGAGGTTTGCATTTTATGTCACCATTTTTTTTTTAACCTGATACCAAAACAACCTTTGATTCACATTGCATCTTGGCCATGCAACACATTTGGAAAATTGAAATCTACAAACCATGGAACTCGTAAGTTGATGTGTCCAAGGCTTAAGATGATAGCAGTTTATGAATTTTAAATGAACAGTACACAGTTGACTGACAGAACAGCATCAGTTTTTCTCCCCAAAATTGATCTAAATGGTGAGAGGGCCTTGAAATTTGATCCAGCTGAGTTAATATAAACGGTTTTTAATCTTAAAACAGAAGGACTTGGGATGTACTGTAACTTGACTGGCGAAATACCTTGCAGGACATGGCTGTCTTATTAGAAAAATGTCAATTAAAATCATCCTGTCTAAATTGAACCGATTTGTATATTCCTACTTGTCTTTTCTCTATTCTCTTTTTTTTCTGCAAGAAAGCTGGCTCCAAAACACAATTGGGTGATTTTTCTTGAGGAATTTTTGAGTTTGATACAGTGAAAGAGTATGTTACATTGTATTACAACGAGGTGTATGTTGCATACATGACCAAATAAGAAGAGTGCTCTTTAATGATACATTTGCTTCAACTTCTGCTTGAATTTCAACCTTCTAGGTACTTATGTGAGCGTGTCGTCCCTGGTAACCGTGTCACCATCATTGGTGTGTATGCTATCAAAAAGATGGCACCAGTTTCAAAGGTAAGGATACTGTGTATGCATTTAAAATGTGTCATTTTTGACATTGATGACACAAAAGCTTACAGCTATTAACCTGAAATTTCCAAGGTGGTCACAGAGGGATTTGGAAAAAAAAATCCCCCAACAGCCATACCATAATAATAGATATTTAAAAAAGGCTTTCCATGGCACAGACCTCTCAAAGCGCTGTACAGTTACAGTAGTTACAACATTTTACAAATTAAGTAAGAGTATTAAAAGTAAAAGACAGCAAAATGCAGGTCAGGTCCTGCTTGACTGTGGTGTTTGCTTGAGTACTTGGTCCATGACTAATTTGCCCATTTGCAAATTCCCCTCACTGCCAACACGCCCGGATGCCAGTTGGGGCTGTACATAGCCTCTCTGACAAATGTGAAGTCGTGCACTGTTGTTTTTTTATATCCTGACAGAGATCACGTTCAGATAAAGTTGCAGTGGGCACGCGCAACCCCTACATTCGCGTGGTGGGTTTCGAGGTGGACACAGAGGGTCCTGGTCGTAGCTCGGGTCTTCCCCTCTTAGCAGAGGAGGAGGAAGAGTTCCGTCAGCTGGCAGCCAATCCCAACGTCTATGAGCTCATCGCTAAGAGTATAGCGCCCTCTATCTATGGAAGCATCGGTAAGCATCCAGACTGTTGTTTAAAGTGTTCTTGACCACTCACCAGGATTTAGCGACGCAAATGGTTTCATTACAGCTTGGAGTTATCAAATATTCGTGCATGTCCAGTACCTTTATTGAGTTACTATGCACAATCCAGTGTTGATTTAAGAACAGCACTTGTTAAACTCTTAAGCAGGCCATGTTGTACTCTTCCTAAGTTGCCGCGTGTAAAATTGGATGTGACATTTGTCTTTAGTTCATTACACAGATGAACAATGACTGATTTGATTTGATTTGATTTATTCACTATTTCCAAAAAATATTATTACAAGAAATCAATTAAAGAAAAGTAAACTCAAAGATTCCCAAAAGTGGAAATAGTAGGGATAACCCAAAAAAGTTAAATTAGCTTATTTCCACTGCGGTCCCAAGAAGCTGGTATGCAGCACGATGATTTTTCACACAAGGCAGAAACTATTCTGTATTCCAATAATCAACTCTCCACAGGAATAACTGAAGATTTGTTAAGAAAGCAGTAAACTGTACCAGTCCGCTGATGAACCAGAACAAGCATTGTCTTTAAAGAATTGCTAATGTTGCTAACTACATTCAAAGTTCATTGTCCTATTACTCAGTTCGTCCGCTCAGAGTTGAGTAAATGTCACCCATAATCGATTGCAACATTCTCTGATGGCCAGCCATTTGATAAACAGGTGTAGTGTGAGACCTGTACATGGACACTAAAGTCACCATGTTTTCGTCTTTGTCCAACTTTTCAGATATCAAGAAGGCCATAGCTTGTCTCCTGATTGGTGGCTCCCGTAAGCGTATGCCTGATGGCTTGACACGCCGTGGAGACATTAATCTTTTGTTGCTCGGTGACCCAGGCACAGCTAAGAGTCAGTTGTTGAAATTTGTGGAGAAGGTTTCTCCAATAGGGGTAAGAAATTATTGCGAATGCTAACTTTGGGAGAGAATATTCCCATCGTGGCATATTTCATGTCTATCATGCAGATTCCTTGCTCTTGATATTGTATCATTTAGGCACTTCCGGGTGCCTCCTCATTTAAAATAATGAAATACACATGTGCAGGCCACAAGCCACTTGCTGTCAGTACCCCCCTTGAAAAAAGGTATGCACCCTTGGGTGCCTCCATGACCAACTTCTCCAGCTACTATCGCTGTGATAAACGTACGCTAAAATTCCATTTAACTAAGTCATGCAAACACAAGTTCAATCATCTACACCCCAAAGCTCAGTTTAAGGAGGCTTACTGCTTTGATGTAATTGATGTTATTTGTGTAATAGGTGTATACATCTGGAAAAGGAAGCAGTGCAGCTGGCCTTACAGCTTCAGTTATCAGAGACCCAGCCTCTGTAAGTGCAGTGATTTTGTTCCTTGTGTTTCTCTGATTATTAAGTTTTCTGTTTAATTATGTGTGACGTGAAAAATAAACAACTTTGAAAGAAAGGTAATTGTTCTTCTCGTGTTGTGAGACAGCCTAGTTAATAATGAAATGATGCGAGTCTGCGGGATTGAATGAAAGAGTGAAAAGCATGAATGCACAGTTCTCTTCACCCAATTTTTTCCTCAAACAGTTAAAAGCCTGCTCCATGTTCAGGCCAAGTTATACGTCAGGTGAACATGAAAGCGAAGGGTTGTAATATTACAAAATGTTTGCGGCAAAATTTGCTTGAGTTGAAGTGTTCTCAACTTATGCTAACTTGCATCGTGAGTATTGATACGATGTCACAAAAAATCAGGTTTGTGTTTGCTTTCTCAATCTAAAAGCATCCTCAAGAGTGGCCCTAGGAATTTCAGCTTTTATCAGTTGCTTTCTATGTCTGTCCATCACAATGTAGCGGAGCTTCGTCATGGAGGGAGGGGCCATGGTCTTGGCAGATGGCGGTGTGGTCTGCATCGATGAGTTTGACAAGATGCGAGAGGACGACCGTGTGGCCATCCACGAAGCCATGGAGCAGCAGACCATCTCCATTGCCAAGGCCGGCATCACCACCACGCTGAACTCGCGGGCGTCTGTTCTGGCAGCAGCCAATTCCGTGTTTGGACGCTGGGATGACACCAAAGGCGATGACGTGAGTAAATGTTGAGGTGGAGTCTTTGTGCTCTCTACAGCTTGATTTCCTTTTACAGTGGTCGTTGCGTGAATGCAACGACCACTGTGCAAGCTGATGCCAGATTTTGACATGGGGATATGGTATAGAAGCAGTGGGTGTGAAAGCGTTTACCGCAAAATCCAACATTGTCACCATCGGTAGGAATTTCTATGTGGATCATATTTGCTCCACCATAAAACAAATATGGATTGTTCTCATCATTTTGTTATCTAATAGCTTCTTAAAGTTGACTTTAAAATTTTTCCCCAGAACATTGACTTCATGCCAACCATTTTGTCCCGTTTTGATATGATCTTCATTGTGAAGGATGAGCATGATGAAGATAAAGATATGGTAAGTTGAAGAAGACAGGACTACGATCTATAATTATATGACACTGAAGGAGCCAAAAGCCCTAAATTACAAAGAAATCTTAAGTCCATGTCACAAGTCCTACAACTTTGAATCACAATATAAGTTGCCCATTCACTGATCTTGTAATGATTTGTTATAACGTAGAAGCAAGTAATAACAACCAAAAGAACGAACAAATGCAAAAATGGCTGTGCAAGAGCTTCAACAACCTTTTATTACAAGACACACCCTTATTTACACACACTGCACTATTAAAACCATTCAACTGTAAAGCAATGAACCAATACCCAATCAGCATCTTAGTTAGCTTCATAACAATTTCAGGAATTTGTCAGGTGAGTCTGTACTTCCTCTATGGCATGTACTTATCCAAACCACACAATACCACATGATTTCAACACTTTTTGTACAGAGGCTCGCGAAGCATGTAATGAACGTCCACATGACAGCCCAAGGCATGGCCCAACAAGGCCCTACACAGGAGGGGGAACTTCCACTCAACTTTTTGAAGAAATTTATCTCCTACGTCAGAAAGTAAGAGCCAGTGTTCAATGAAAATTTGTCTTGGTAGGATTCTATTCCAGCAAATAGGTTTATTCACAATGAAAAGAAAAGGCCAAATGGTCCAGTGAAAGACGATAACTGTGCTGCAGGTCTTCACCTAAACGGTTTTTCTGTTTCAAAAGTTGTCATTAAGATTTTGTGATCTCACTCATCCTTTTTCACCTTCCAGTAAGTGTGGGCCTCGTGTCTCAGAGGCAGCAGCTGAGAAACTAAAGAATCGCTACGTTTTGATGCGCAGCGGAGCACGAGAACACGAAAGGGAGACAGACAAGAAGACCAATATCCCAATCACTGTCAGGTCAGTTTTTAGGTTTTGCCCTAAACTGACGGTGTTTTTCATTGTAGGGACATGTACTAACGGTTAGGGCTTGTAGCTCTTGATCGGTGGGTTAGGGTGTCGGATTCAGATGCTGCTTGCGTGCTGAGATGATTTCAGGAATGTTTATAAGTTCAGGGGTGTGAGAATACAGCTTTTTAGCTGATTTCAGAATTTTTTGATTTAGATGTTCACCCTGAATTTCAGCTTTTTTGTACACCTGGTCTGTACAAAAGTGTGGGAACCTTTTACATTTTAGCTTTTTTGCTAGCTGTTTTCGGCTTTAATTTTAAGTGTCCATTCACACCCCTGTATGTTACAAACCAACTGAGCGGGAAAAATAGCAAATTGTCATCTTGACATGACAGAGATTGTCAGATATTATGACTATATACCTTATAAATGCTTTGTTCTTATATCATGGACGAATAGCACAAAAATCGTGTGTCCAGTTGGCAAGTGTCCAGTTGGCCTGTGTTCTGAGGATGCCACACTTTGTTTAGATTGTGTGCTTTTCTGTGGAGCCAGAAGAGGTTCACAGCTCACTGAGCTCCATAGCAAAGCACACGTCCTACATAATGAGGCCCATCATCTTGATATATTTTGTTGATGCAACAGGCAACTTGAGGCTATAATCCGCATCACCGAGTCACTGGCTAAGATGCAGTTGAAGCCATTTGCCTCCGAGGCCCATGTCGATGAAGCTTTGCGACTCTTTCAAGTATCCACGCTGGATGCAGCTAGGACGGGCAACCTATCAGGTAAGGGATGCAGGAAATCTGATGCCAGCTTCTTACTATATGCACTGAATAAAATCGTATCACTTCAGCATTTAAACTTTCCTGTCTTTACCTCTAGTGACATGCATACATATGGCCACAGCTGATGATCTAATGTTGTAATCAACTTATTATGATTACTGAGTCCTTAAACAATCTTTGTGTCCTTTTAGACTAATTATAAGAGGATTTCAGTTTGCCCGTGCAAGAGAACTCCCAACTCTGGTTTTGAACAGTTCATGTTATGACAGATGCACGGACAACCTATTTATCATGGTACACCAGAGTGTTTCTAAACCAGGGTTGCAAGGAGTGCATTCCACTTAGGCGCCATTGCAAACATGTTGAACCCCGGTCAACCGTGTTCGCCACAGTTTTTCCAAGCCTTAGCAACCAGTCCTCGGCGCCAGTTTTCTCCTACTTACATATCAATGTAACTGCCTAACAAAAGGCCCTATTGTTACTTGTTGCTACTGCGGCTTTCTACATGTACATGCCAAAGACATAATTTTCTCATCAGGAGGCAGATGTGTCTGCTAAAATGCTGGCTTTTTTGTGAACCGGGAATGACTTTTCAAAACTTACAAGTTTACTCCACAGAGATGTGTGCGAGTGTAAGCCCTACTGGTTTCTAGTTTTGGGAGACGTGGAGTCTTGTTAAGTTACTACACAGAATGTGACACAGTTTTACACTGTAGTCATGTATGTACACGATTTACTGATGTGCTTGTACCTTAGGTGGAAATGCTGATGTCCTTGTGATCTGTCATCATTAAAAATGATCTTTTGTCGTGGTTTATTTACCCTGGAAAACACTGCATTACAGAGATCTTGAGAATGGTAAAATCTGAAACTGTGCAGGGTATTTACAGTGGTGCTACATGTACGTAGGTAGGCCTACTGCAATAATTTTGATACTTGCGGAGGGACGACAGCCAACAAAGTCCGCATAACAATCGAATGGCATTCACAGTTTGCATGTAAACTTGGCAACCATCGTGGAAAATCACACCATACTGGATCATGTGATCGCTACATGTGACACTGAATTAAAGAATCAGGGAAGTTTGTATTAATGACAAAAGTCATGGAAAAGTGGGAAATTTGAGAGTACTAATTTATTTAACATTTTAGACCTAGAAAAAGTGATGTGAACACATTCCGAGCAGCACAAGAATTTCACGCAGAGACATGAGTATGCTTAGAGATTGAGTCCATGAGCCGTTAAAATTTGTTAAGTGCTACCGGTACGTGTAGTCATTCAGCCAATAAGAAAATTTGTTATACACTAAAAGAACTGCTGTCGTCCCTGGGGTTAGGTGTCATCCTGGCACGGCACATCAGTGGGGGAACGTCTACCCGTCAACCAAGACCCCAGTCCAAGATAAAAAGCCCTATTTGTAATACAAAATCCATTTCGATTAAATACAGTTGACTACTTTCAAACGATTTCTGACCAATTACTTTCACTACATTTTCAAGTTTCGGATTATCGCTTGAATAATTTACCACAGGGTTTATTTCATAAAGATCTCCTAAATCTCCTAAAACATTACGACATCGGCCGAACCGCGGTGACACTTTCGCTAAGGCGCCTTAAGGAAATCACTTCAAAATGTTGGCAAACATTAGCTCGAGTTGAATGGACCCCTTTACGTCCTCAGTGAAGATGGTACAGCCTGACTGCCTGGCAAGTTATGTTGAACTATGATCTTAAAGAGACTTATTTTTGTTTGATAAAATTACAAAGAGCCTTTTCCTGAAAGTTTGTATGGTCAAAGATCACAAGTTTTGTGTTGAAAATGCTAGTTTGATGATAGTAATAGCTAGCACACTGTTCATATGAGTCATCAAGCACATGGTCAAACCGACTCTATTTTGTATTTCTTGGTGGTCATGGATATTTTCTCTCCTTTTTTTTCAGGTGTTGAAGGTTTCACAACCCAGGAAGATCAAGAAGAATTGAACCGCATTGAGAAACAACTGAAACATCGCTTTGCCATCGGGTCACAGGTCTCGGAACACTGCATCATACAGGATTTCCTGCGGCAGGTAGGTAATTATGGCCTTAGGAAAAACAATGAGTCGGCACAATGGACATATCTATTGTGCTGCTTTCTGACGTCTTTTGCTCATGCACGAAACAGCTCATATAAACTTGTATGTAGCAACTGTAGCTAGCTAGCTATCACATTTAAATATCTGGACAGAATTAAGACCTGGTCCATGCTGTCGGACCAGGTGGGATTTGAACCTGGGTCACCACTGATGGAAAGCTAGGAATATAACAATCAGGCAGGGGTTAAGGAAACGGGTTGGATGAAGAAATGATAGTATCAGCCAAGTACATAACCTTCCACTGAGCTATCCGATATATGATTCATGAAAAATATGCATGGTTTGGCATAAAGTCAAGGGTGAGTTACTGAAATTTTCCTCAAAATGTACACCTTAGTATTTCAAACACTGCATTTTTTGCAAAATGTGATATTCAGAAGCAAAATTATAAAGTTTGAGATCAACCAGTTCAAAAGTTGAAATGAGAAACGGGTCTTGAAAGTTGGAGTTCAGTTAGAAACTCTGTCCATAAAATTTCAGTATGAAATTTTTATAAAACATGTGAACGTAAGAAAGTTGCAAAAATATCTCAACAGATGAATATTAGCCCATGTCACTTTGAGATGTTTCTTGATTGGGTGGTTCTGGCAATTTTGCAGTGCCCATCACATTTGGTTCTCAGGCTCATAGGACTTGATACTTAACCTTGTCTTTACTGGTTAAAACTTTACAATTGACAGAAATACCCTGAACGCTCCATCTACAAGGTTTTGCATCTGATGATGCGACGAGGAGAAATTCAGTACCGGATGCAACGCAAGATGCTGTACCGCTTGAAGTAGAAAGGGTGCAAGGAATTAATATGAGTGACATGAAAGATAAAAGTTCATAAAACAAGATTCATTAACTTAAATCACTCATAGAGTGATCACTATTCAGTAATGTATACCTTCGTAGAAGAATTGCTGCTCAATTTATCTTGCAGTTGAACGTTTGAACAAAAAGTACATCCTAAATATACATATAAAGGAAGTACTTGCTGGCAATGACCAACCTATTGTTCAGTCTTACCTGTCTCACTGCACTTAAGGAAAAGGAGGGATATATCTGAAGACTTGAGTGGTAAGATCATGTTGCAGAAACTAAAACTAACTCCTGAAACGTTCTTGAAAATGGAGTTTTATACTTACTTGCACATTTATTCCTGTGTAACAGATCGCTATTTCAAGCTGCAACCACTGAATCATTTAGAACAAGTGCATATGTTGTTCTGTGCCAGTGCTGCACGTGCTGTGTTCATGCTATGTATTGTCATTGTTTGTGCTCCACAGTTGAAGAAATTTATTCTCATTGTGTACAGTGCAATCATTTCATCACCGTTTTCACAGAGACAAAAGTCTTGCCAGAGAGTAAAACTGTAGGTTTTGAGAAATTGCAATTGATGTTGGAAATTTGAAAAAAATCATGACTTTGGGCCACTTGACTCCTCATGAAAACGGCGATGATTTGATCATATTGTGATTACATGTACTTTGTTCTCAAAACAGAATACATATACCTTGTACATTGCTTGATTATTATGGTATAAGTTAATGACACATGGTGAGATTGGAGGAAAATGAAATATCCATGAATATTCATGAAAGGTTTCAAGTGTCCCTCAGCATCATAAGGTCTGTGGTCTACGTTTGTGCTTGCCCAAAGGCACCCCTTTGGTTAACCCATTTCTTGTGTTCTTTATCATATTTTACATGTAAAAACACCTCTTTGGTAAACTCAGGATTTTCCATGTTTGGAAAGGAATTGATAGAGAAATCCTGAAATCAGAAAAACCTTATTTTAAAAATTTAAAATCAGGAGAAATCTTTACTGTTTTTGTGTTCATGATAAAACAAAGCTATTTTGTCCAAATTTTGATCATCAAGATTTGTACTGTGTATGACAAGTGCTGTGAGAAATATTGTTTATTGTGATCAATTTGTAAAAACTTCAATTTTAAGTCAGTGTTAAACTGAATCGTTGAAAAAATACTTTAGATACAACTATTGTGTTTCCACTTCATGTAGACATGTGCTATTACCAATTTTGTTCAACGGTAAATCCTGGAGTAGGGCCTATGTGACATTTATGACTTAATTCCAGGAAGAATTTCTAAAGTTTTAATCCTAGTCTCTGACCGTGTAACAAAATCTCTGTAGAATAAAGCAACTTCTTGCATTAAAATCCACACTTACACAAGGAAAGTCACATTATTCAAAGTGTCACGTATTTGGCTTTAGAAATGTTGATCATATTAAAGGAAGTGTTTTTCAGCATCATTCAACAGTGGAAATTTCCCTTTGTAATAAGGTGTAGTGTTTTGACCAAAAAGACACAAAATTCGATAAAGCGTGTTCCTTATAAAACTCTTTAGTTTCAATTACGCGTGGGGCCATCCTTACAGTTACATCGGGGAATAACCAGTGTTACTGTCCCGTCCATTTTCTCTGGAGTCTGGCTCATGTCTGAACCAAGTCCGGTCGTTAAATACGGCAGTTGATTCCATGTCAGGGTCATGGAAGTCAAGGTAGTGGAATGTGCCTATCTTTTGTGCATGATCCGTATCATGATCGTTAAGTAGGGTTTGAACAAGCTTTCCTCTCCCTTTCTATGGAGTGAGACGGACCAGTGAACACATTTGCATTGTGACTTTAGTTTGCGTGAAGGCACTTTTCCGTATGTACGATTTTTGGGTGAGTTGCGTACACGTTGCGTTCATGCGTTTCACATTCACGAACACAAAAATTGTTTGCTCCTTTATACACCAGGAATATCCTGAGGAAGGGCATCTGCAAAAATCTTATCAAATGAAATTCGTCAACATTCCTGCGGGGGGTCAATTTCATAGAGCTGCTTAAGCACAAAATTTGCTTAATTAAGCACTAGAAAACCTTGTTTGACAAATCAGGTAACGAGCCAAAGTTCCATGTGATGTATATTGTTTTGGGATCGTAGTTAGCTGTCATTTGGTTAGCATGACAATCAGAGTTGGATTTGGTAACCTTGTTTTTTAATTAAGGAAGGTTTTCACGCTTAAGCAAATTTTGTGCTCAAGCAGTTCTATGAAATTGGCCTCGGATCTAATGTGTCCATTATTTTCGAGTCTACGTTTTGAATCAAAGTTTTCAACGAATCGCTCATAAGAACAGAAATTTTTAGTACCGGTACATTAGGAGAAAGATTCGTTGGCGACCATGCCTTTATTTCTTGCAGCGCATGTTTTAGACGATGTTCAGGCATGATTGAAACAAAGCACGTAGTATACATGTTTTATAATATTATTGTTGCTAGAAAGATATTACTATTAAAAACGATGTGGAGCTTCAGCTATTTTTGAACATGAAGTCTTAGTTTGTATTATCATTACTGTTTTTTTTTCAGAGTGAAATCCTACTAACCCCAGGGGAAGCTGTTATATTCAACCATAACCACTCTACGTAAAACTACTTAAACAAAATTTGTCCTGCTCTCAAGAATATTTCGATCTGTTCCTGTTTTATTGCTCGAAATATTCCTTCGGCAAAATTTTCTCAAACGTGTAAAATTTGACCTCGTCTGGTGTACAAAATAAAAAGTAGACGAGCCGTTCATCAAATGTCAATTACAGATGTAGGTTTTCCTAGGTTAATTCAAATGCCATATATTCCATTCCTACTTCGATGTGCTGATAATGGAATCCAATTTCGGACTTCCACCAGTGAATGGATTTTTTTGGTTCGTTTGTTTGTTTGTTTGTTGGGGTTGTTGGGGTGTTTGTTCGTTTATTTGTTTGGGGTGTTGGGGTTGTTTGTTTGTTTGTTTGTTGGGTTGTTTTTTTTGTTTGTTTGTTGGGGTGTTGGGGCGTTTGTTGGGTTGTTTGTTGGTTGGTTGGGGTGAATGGATGTTTGTTTGCGGTCTTAATGACGAGTACAAAATTCGAATTCGTTGACTTTTAATAATTTCCTCCCATCTGTCCTTCAAGGGTAGCATTGGAAAGACAGCGTCGTCAGGTTTTTTTGCATGTACTGATTTTGTGATCCAGAATCTTCAGTGGGAAGTTGACCTGCTAATTTCAGCATCGTATTAAGTATTTGAATGTTTTATGAGACATTTACGTGTCACTCTTATCCTATAAAATAAAGGGTAATCTAAATCGATATTCTTTTGTTGAGCTTTAGTTCGATGACAAAAGTGTGAAAAGTATGCAGAACCATTAAATAATCATAATGATTTAATTTTCCTGTAAAAGAGTTATGTTTTTTGTCTAAACGGAAATTTAGTATAAGCATGGAACATGGTACCTATATATGCACTTTCTTCTATGTCGCTGAATTTGAATGAAACTGAACGACGTATGACAATATTCTTTTCACTTTTTCAATATCAAATCCAGCAGCTACCCTAGAAATCACTGTAAATTATAACCAATTATCATGTATCGCTAACTAAACCAGAAATAGAAAAAGACATCTTGGGGTGGAAATTTGAAATGAGATTCACCTTTAGACCAACGAAATTGGGACATACAAAAGTATCTTGCCATTAAATATGCATGATGTAAAATGTATGATGCAATTACAGTTAAATAGGTGGGAAAACACATGGGTTTGGTGGTTGTTTCTTTAGCTTATTAATCACTCTTCAGGCTGAATTGAAGCATACTCGCACGAAAATTCTCAAACTATTAATCACACCCAATCACTGACTATTCTTACAGTTGTTCAAATTTTCCGATAGATACGCTGTTGTCATCTTCTCACTCTAGGTCTACACACGTAAAACTTTTTATTAGATCACTCTTCCGTCTTGCCGTCTTCAATGTTCTTCAGTGCCTTGTATGTGGGCCCACAATCTGTCGCAAAAATGTGAAACATTCCAATTTGTTGAAAACTTATAGCTCTTGTACATCTTTTCTTTAAGCTTGGTTCTTTTCATTCCTTTCTAAAGTCGACATATAAAAAGAGCATTTATTTGGGCTTGATTCGTACTAGTGGTTCTGAACCAGCCTCCAAAAATGAGCCATTAACACTGTCTACATTTCGTAGTATAATGTTCTTATTAATTTGTCTTTTCTTCAACATTGACATACATGTATTTCCAAATGATTGCAGAGCACCGCACACTCACCGGTCATCATATCCTCTTCTTGGGATTTCGAATTTATGTCACACCATATGTACCTGGGAACGAGAGAAGAAAGGTGTGCATGTTCGGTAATCCTTTCCCTTTTGAACCCTGCTGCATAACATACATATGCAGTTAAGCTGTGAACAGTGCAACAACTATATATAGTATTCAATGGTGTAAATTGTACACCCCTGGACTCTACATTGACCAACTATTGTAATGATTGTTGCACAAAGGTATTAATACCACAAAATCTTTCAGTCTAATTAAGACTCACACAAGAGTTATTTTGAATCGTTGCAGTGTCTCGAATTTTGGTGATTTTCTTTTGGCATACAGTAACATGTAAGTTTGTGAACAACGTCTCTTTTTGGTTACCACCGTCGCAAAAAAAAACAAAGAACAGCACAAAATGGGCGTTTCACAATAGTGTGCCTCCAAGAGTTTGCAATGCGTTGACCAATCAAAGTGCGCAAAATCTGTAGACCCTTTCCAAACGTGCATTGGGTCGACTGATTTCGCTGTAATTGGTCAACGCGTTGCAAACTCTCGGAGGGGCACTATTGTGAGACGTTCTTATTGCTGAAAGAAACGTATTTTCCAAAACAGTTGGTATGATGGTATTGCAAATAACACACACGTCTTTCTCTTGTGACTCTGACAATGACAGCAAAATACCTTTTGTGTTATGTTTTGAAAGTCAGTTCTGTTGTATCGCAGGGTTCACCACAATATAGCGTCTGTCTTTACTCACAGTATGATGAGTAGCGACAGTGCGTAGAAACCAACAATTACAATGAACGACAGACCAGGCCACACTGGTAGAAAGACAGTGTATAGGTTGTTGAACAGGCCAGAACTAGCCACAGACATCAACGTTTGAATCAAAGCCGTAACAGCAAATAACGACCCTGTGAATTAAAGTTTGAAGTTAAGATTAGATTGCCCCATCAAGTTGAAAACATGTTAATCAGAAATTAAACAAATTCATTATTTTGTTGACTCAAATTCATCCAAGTATAGTAAATTATGTTGAATGTAAAAGAAAATATTGTTTCCATATTGAGTCACTGATCCAATTTCTGTTGTCATCAGACTATGTTGACAAATTATTAAGCCGACTAACTCCGTAGTTATGACCACAAACGGACATATTAAGCAAATCGCCCCTCCCTTAACTCCATTTCATTCCCTACAACAAAATACGATCCCCAATTAAGAGATAATTTCAACCCCTGTTGAAATCAATTAAGTTGGTCAGTTGACAGTGGGTTAAACTTGGCTGCACGGTGTTAAATTTCGATTCATAAATCATTGTGAAGAACAGTGGCTCCGGCACTGAGATCAAGTATGGGTCTATGGTTTAGGCTGCATCCGAATCTGTTATCGATGTCTAGAGTTAGATCTAGGTCTTCACTCCGTTAAAAAGCGGAGACGCGCAGACAGTAGGTTGTAGCCAATAGATCTGAAAGCCCGTTTCGGATAGCTAATGGGCTATGGAGACGACCCCCTCCGTGAAGGCCTAAACTATGTAAATGGTATAGCCGCTACGCAGTCACGAGTTTCGAAGGCAGTCTTAAAATGTCTGAAGGCGCGATCCCCACTTCCCACTGCCGTTTCACCCAACGCAACGGCACCACCCTTATTGCTAACCGAAGTATGACATCTTTTTGAACCAGGTACATGTAGTACAATACTATATCTGCTCCGGGCGGAACAAAAGAGGGTGTGTTTTTTGTGTTCAAGTCATAGGTGCGTCACGAGGAGCGCAAGTAAATGTGCGTTTGACGCGGAGCATGCTGAGTACGCGTAATTTACTCCGGCTTGTATCCGGTTCGTAAGTGTGACGTCACCAGTTTAAACCACGCCCACTGCACATGCACTGCACATTGGCCACCGTTTACATCAACCTCGTTCCCATAGGTGTGATCTTGCTGCACCACGTTGCAATGGTTCCCACCATGCCTTGTGCGATCTAACCCCTGGTATGGTATACACACTGTAATTCGACAATAAGAATTAGAAGGCATTACTGCGGTGGTGCAACGCTTGTGGACAGGTGATACGTACGCGTTCCACGCCTCTTTGACCAATTGGATGTCGTGATTTGCCAAATGAACGCTCGCGTTAACCTGAAAAATTTGCGTATGAGTGCGGCGCCACCGCAGATATGGCGTCGAATCGGATTAGTCTATAATATAAATGTCCTATTGTTTGGGATATTTAAATTAGGCCTTTAGTCAGTGCGTTTATATGCGCGACGCAGATTTACGCGCGCATGCAGGCGTGCAGGAAAATACAGGGGCGCGAAGGTGTAGCTTTTGACTCTGCTTTTGACTCTACGTGACTGAAATGACGCTGACTGCCTATTCATTCTGAATAGCCAGTCAGCCGGTGCGTGTTTCGAAAGGGTCGACAAATTTTGCGAGTTGATAGGTCAACGCGTTACAAACTCTTTGAGCGCAGTATTGTGAATCGCCCCTATTCTATAGGGGCGATGCAGGGGCAGATATAGGGGCAGCCCATGGAATCGAGGTTTCGTTTACATGCATCCATGGAACCGGAAGTTAACGCGCTACTTCAGCAATTTTCCAATGGGAGCCTGCAAATCATGGCGCGTCCGCCTTTGTGACCAAGTCACTTACGAACCAGATACAGCTAAATGTAGAATAACGACATGAATTTAATATCAAATCAATGCTCTGAAATATGTGATTGCCGAGCTTTCGGCAACTGAGTACCTTCTTCAGGGCAAGCAGATTCAGTTCACAGCTAACTGTAGACCTATTTTTCCTCCAGCAGGTAAGCACTACATACTCGAAGCTACTGAAATGAGCGTCAAGAATGCGCGACGCACATACTCTGGATTGGTAATGCCGCTTGCCGGTTGCGTCCTGCGTTCGTCACGTTTGACGTGTATTTTTGTATTTTGACCCTCATGGCAAGACTGTGCGTAAACACGCACTGCCGATCTAGTCTTTATCCTATTTAATCTATGAACAGTCATCTCCATGTGTACAGTACAGTGTTAGTTCACGTGCTGGTTCTCACGTGTGCACACCAAGCCTTTTGCACACAAAGCTGCCTTTCCATATGAGCGTCAACACTTGTGCCATGTGCTACGTATCCGTCAAATCGCTCCCGGGGCGATTGTGACGGCCGAACTCAACGCACACGTGTGTTATGTTAATGGGTCATTTTTTGTGTCAGTGAAAGTGAAACACATGAACACATCGCGTAAGCAACGCAGGCAAAGAACTTATCCGGATCTGGTTTGTAAGTGTGACGTCACTTCAGTTTAAACCACGCCCACTGCACACGTACACTGCACATAGGGTTATATGCATTGATCGCCGTTTACATGGAACCATGTGTAACCGAGTGGTCTTGGTCTCTGAGTGGTCTCTGAGTGGTTCTCGCCCTCTTTCTGCCTTTGATCAAAGAAAGCCCGTTGAAGTTGTACAGATGAGCCTGTACCACTCGGTTACACATAGAACCGGAGGTTAACGTGCAACTTCAGCGATTGTTCAATAAAAGCCTCAAATCGTGGCGTGTCCGCCTTTGTGACGCAATCACGCCCCAGATTATGGAAAGGAACCTTAATTGTGGGCGTTTATGACATGTGTGACGTATTCATTTCGGTGCTCTATTACATCATGCACCACACAATGCATTGAGAGTTTGCAGGTGTGTGTGTTCTTCATGGAATTCTGTCCCTGAAATTCTGGCAAGGGTAACCTCATTCCCACAGGTTCCCACCATCTTGTTGGTTCCAATCATAGAACTATAACTAACAACTCTGTGGTCCCAAATTCCGCGATCGCAAAAGTGAATGAGCGTGCGCGCACACAGCCCACATAGACGAGGCTGTGTTGGTTAAAAATTTACTTAGTGTGCCTCGAAGGTTTGCAACGCGTTTTCCAATCACAAGGCGTGAAATCTGTCGACCTTTTCGGAACGTGCATTGGGTCGCCAGATTTCGCCCATTGTAATTGGCCAATACGTTGCAAACACTTGGAGGCGCACTATTGTGAAACGCCCGTATAAGGTGCGCATTAGGGACGAGCGAAATCCAAAGCATACGAGTAGGCCGTCCATAATGAGTGGACCAGACTAACGCGTAGCTGTGAGGGCAGGATTGGACGTTGTGTTGTGTCACGACTGACTCACCGTACTCGTGCGGATCGACCAGCTTGGATTTGAAGGCGGTTATGGCAACGCTGGGAAAACTGACTAGCATGCCAACAACAGCAGCTGCATGAAATAAAATACATAAAATCCTAAGCACCCATGATAAAAATCTAACTTTCCATTAGATACCACGTTTTCTGATTATTGATGTTTCTCAAAACAGTATTTAGGTTTGACAGAACCAACCGCATAAACAAAACGATTAATAAAACGAGAACAAGTGTTGTTTAGGCTATCTATCGACATAATATGCCTCCATGGGAACTTAGCGTTGGCTTTATATCCTCAGTTTTCACCGAGTATATAACTTCATCTTTTTCTGTTTTTGTCAATTCCTAATCCTTTGGAGTTAAAATAACTTCGGATAAACCCCTTCAGATATACTCATTTCAAACTGAAAGACTTTTTAAAGGCATACCTATCATCATGACTGAAGTGGACTGAGCAAACGCTGTCATAGTCAAGGCTACCGAGATAGATAGTATTCCAACACAGGCCAAGCCAAGATCTAACTGCATGGTATGGTTCTTCACAACCTGACAGAGTACAAAAAGCATCATTTGCCAAAAAATAAAAAAACAAAAAACCAGGATGCAAGAACAAGTGCGTCAAGGAGAATTCCCGTCTTATGTTTCAAAACAACGTGTGGTTTGGATCACGATGGACAAAACCTTATACAGTCGTTGGTCATTCACATTAGGAAGAGACAGAATACCAGTTACGACATAAATACTGTAAGTTTAAACACTGAATATTGATGCAAATAAAGGTTTAATATAATTCTGGAATGCGTCATTAATAATACATCCAAGACACTTTTGGGCTGGTTCACGCTTGATGCAAAAGCGAACACGAACGCCAAATTATGACGTCAGAACAAATGTTCGCACCGCGAATTCCCAAACAGAGCACAAACTTCATGGTCATTCTCCTACTTTTGTCACCTTTTGTCTTCAGGAAAGTATCGTCATAGCTATATACATCTGTTCTAAGAGTGCTTTGTGATGCACGAAGTGAACAATCAGATAATTTGCTTTCGCCTCGAGTGCAAGAGGTCAAAAGACTTTAGCAGGGCTCCTTTCCAAGAGTCTGCAATAAATAACTTTCCAATTCAGGGTAACTGTACGTGCACCAATCAGGGGCAGATCCAGGAATTATATTTGCTGACCGGCAGAAACGATGATGAAACATTTATACCCGCCATACATTGTTTACAATGGTATCGGTGCTCTTACGCAAGTTGTTTTTATTACTTTCCCATTTTATCCCACCCCTTTTTGTCTCAGAGAAGGGGCGTTCTCCACAACCCCCCCCCCGGTTCTGTGTCTGCCAATATAGTTAACGTTCCACGCATGTGCGTATGACCGGCCTCATTTCTAAAAATGGTTTCGTAATCGTCTTCATCTCTGACATACAAACCGCTTCTAGGAATATGGTGGGGGAAATTCCCCTACGTGGCGACATTATACAGCTAAATTGTGCTTTATCAAAATCTTTCTTTTTAATAAGCGGAAAAATTCCTACTTAGAGCGTAATATCCAGTTAAAGCGGTAAACGGTGTTAAAATAAAGTTTTGGAACACCAAAACTGGCAACGATTCAGCACGCCCCAGATTGGTAAAGGTAACCCGAATCGTATGTTTTTTAAAAGCCCAGGCACAGAAGGGATCCATTCTGATTTCACAATGGACAAAAACGTTTTCCTTGTGTCTTTTTTGTTTATTAAAAAATTCCGACCAGAAAAAACTACGATAATTTTAGAGGGTTTCTTGGAAAAAAAGGTCAAGTAGTTCCAGTACCTTAGAGAAATTGACGCTCAAATTTGGACCCCTGACATTTTTAAACTAATGGGCAACTCGCACTTTTACCACCACGGCCATTTATGAGCATTCGTGCATAATGATTTATTACTGAAAAGATTATTACCTTGAAGATCAAAGGTACTCCCAGTGCCAACGTGACCGCCTTCAGAGCTGTTCGTAGGGCGATGAAGATGCCGATTGTTGTGGCCGTCCAGTTTAAAGGGGAATGCTTCGTGTAAAAGACAATTAAGTCCGATTCGGCTGAATTTGATCCGAAAGATGAACAAAAGAAAGGGACAAATGAAATTGAATACAGTGAAAAAGACATGACATGATCTTGCCTTTGTGTTTGTATCTCAGAACACCATGGGCGTACCCCCCCACTTTTTGAGGTGGGGGGTGGGCTGTTGGATAAGCCCTCCCCCCCACACACACACTCAACCAAACCCACCCACACTTTTTGTGGTAAGCAAAAACGTAGAATTGGTTGTGAAGTATTGTTCAGACTCCCAACGACTAAAATGCAATCCATGTCACCATGGCAAAACAAGTTTATAAAGCCATAAATATGCCAGTTTGAATATGTATTACAGCTGTACATAAATACCATGAACATCGACCTCTATTTAGAGTCAATATTGTATCCCCCGCTTTTCAAATTTTCATGTCTTTCCCCATTCCCATCCCCCAATTTCCAGCACAAATTTACGCCACTGCAGAATACACACAGACTAATTAAGAGGATTGTGTCAGGCTTCAAGATAGTATTTGTAAGGAAATTATAACAGAAAAAAAGTTTGCTGGAAGGATTGGGAAAAAGGGTACTAACCGAAGTGCTATCTGTGTTAACTTTTGACGTATAAAAGTCGTGCCATCTGATTAACGTCACATCATTTTGAAGAATGCCGTCAGCAACTGCGGTCTTTTTGATAGTTATTCAGTAAATCATTTCAATATAAAGGTGTGAATAAAACCACCAACCTGAGGAGCAAACATTATGAATGATACCAATGAGCATAGCCAGCAGCAGATATTTGCGTGAAGAACCTTGCCTCTCTCGAAAACACAGCAAAAGCATACTCCGAACACCTTTCCAAACTTCAGTGAGTGATTGCCGGATTGAGCGACGGGTTTCGTTACATCCATGTTCGTCTTCTTTAGAGTCGTCTGATTCCACCTGCTCGTTCTTGGCGTTCTTGATGTTCTCCCCATTTTTTAGCTTCGTGTGCCCATCCGTCTCTGTTTCTCTGTCCTCCTGCACACTGTCATCCTCGGCATCAGTTTCATCAACCTCATCTTCATCGTCTCCACTACTCATCTCCTGGTCGGACTCGGAGTATACGGTCTCCTGCAGCCAGAAAATGACGTAGAGAATCACGAAGCCGTGAATGACGACGAGGATAAAGTAGATGGCAGCAAAGCCGCTCTGATCAACGAGCACACCGAACAAGAACGCTCCGATCGGTCCGCCTACGTGTGACAAGGCTTTCATTACACCAAGCCGTTTGGTTCGATTGCTGCTGTCAGTTACGTCACACAGGTAACTCTTAGCAACGATGTATGACGTTACAATGTTCCCAGAGAGACCCACAGCAACTTCGCTGGCGATGAGATAATCCAGAGGCATCTTGGGGAAGTAGGTCTGCAAGAGGAAGCTTGCTGCGCCTAAGATGTTTCCCAAGGAAGGCATGATCAGGAACATTCGCCTTCCTAAGCGATCGCTCAATGGGCCGTACAAGGAGGACACCACTGCTCCAGGGATGAACAGGGCCAGCTTCAGGTAGAAATTCCAGTAAGCCGCATCGGCCTGGACATCGTTCTCTATGGCGGTGTCACCGCCATCGCTGCAAATTGTGTCGTTGTAGCTGAGCAAGCAGACCTTGTGAAGGACGAGAAGTTGGCTGGAAGGTGTCCGCATGAAATTCGTCATCGACAGAACGAAGACAATAGGCTCCACGGTCAGAATTCGTAATGACTCCTTGAGTGCGTGAATGGCATCAGAAGTCTTCCCCATTTCTGTTACTTTACGGTGTTCCTGCGAGGTAAAGTTAAAATACTATTACGAGCATTGACGTCGATCCAGGGCTAAAGGCCTACTGTTTGTCCCACTCGTGATTTTTTTCACATGATTATTTTGACTGCAGTGTATTATGAACGCTATTTATGAAAACAATCAAGCAACGTCAAACAGATTCCAAAAGTACCAATACGAAAGAAGGAAATGAGACAGTGGACGGAAGTATAGATAGAACTGTCCCACGGAGTTGAAATGGTTCCTATCTGCACAACTGGTTATCACTTTCTCAACTAGTAGCGAGTTCTGATGAAAGGATGATATGGTTGGCTGATCTGCTCTTTGTGCCTGAGACTGTATTTGCACTAGATCATGCTGTAGTCTTGCCGGATTGTTGTTGTTCGTATATCCTGGGGATGAGAGCCCTTCCAACTATAATTTGCCCAACTCAGGTGAACTGTTTTTACAGGTATGTTTCTTTCCTCAACTTAGTTTTGCTTATTGTTCAGGGTCGTACACTGAACGACGGCAAGCTATTGTGATGGAAACAAGAAGTCTGATGGAATTATTTTGTTTTTCTATGATCTTGTATAATCTAATAGTATGCAGTAGCCTTTTTCGAACAGTGATAATGCGTTGATTTCCTATCTTCCTGTTCAAAAAAATCATGATATTCTTGTAATTGGGGTGTTCACAAGAATGTGAAACACATGAATACGAAGCCAGTGTTGAACTAAAGGCCAACCCGATGATGAGCAGCTTGCAAATTTTTTAAGCCAGACCCACGAACTTAAAAATCTGGTTCGCTGTGATTTTATTTGTCACAGCAATTTATTTCCTTACCGAAAGCCAAGTTCATATTCCAAAAGTGGAGAAATCACTGTACGATATATCAATGATCGGTACTGGCTTCTAATGACGATGTTGAATAAAATGACTCAGTGTCACTTAAAACATTTTTTTTGCACTTTTGGCTTTATTGTGTACGTCCGGGAAACCCCTGCAAGAGATATATTCCCAGATACACCAGCAGTGCTGGGTGAACATTCGTGCTTATGATCTGACAATGTCACACGTATGAGAAAGGGCAGTAACATTACAAAGTACAGGGATCATTTGCATAGAGAACACACACAAAGTCAGCATCCAGGAAGTAAAGCAATACAAAGCACCCACAATGACAACCAACTACGGCGCTGAGTCTCTTCCACCTGTCACGTTCGTAAGCTCATTGGTGCAGTACCAATGAAACTTTAATGACGAACCCTTAAAAAACCCTACAGATCAGGGTTCACAACTTCTCGTTTACCAGCACCGGTGGGATTCCGCAACTGACTCAGTCCGCTCCATAAATGTGTCAGAAGATGGTGTGAAAACCATGCATCCATGGTCTGGGACGCATTCGATTCCATCTCTTAATAAGGTCGGTTTATAACAGCAAATGTAAAAGTCTTTTGCGACAAATTTGACGTCACAAAAGATTTGCTGCAAAATTTCGCTCGAGTTGAAACGTGTTCACTTTTTCGAACTCGCAGTGCGAATATTTTGATCTGACGTCAACATTTGCTGTTCGCTTTTGCGCAAAGTCTAAACTGCCTTCTACGCCGGTAAGCACATGCAATTAGTTTGTATAATGTACGTGACTCGCTCAAGGAACAATACGATTTATACCTAAATTACATGAAATGATAGCATCAAATAAGTCAAGCGTACCACTGTTTGGATTAGTTGGGTTTCCACTATACAGTTGGAACAACTTCATGCACTTACTGTTGCCTATAGATGTGTGAGTTTTAGGCCTTGTGGAAGGTGTCACATAACAGTATGCTGACACCAAAATTACAGTGGGTGAAGTTACATATTTCCATCGCGACACGTGTGCTTGAACCAAGCCTGATTTCCTTATCGACGTAAGAAACGCAGAGAACAACTCATTCAAGACGCAAACTGCCACGCAGACAAATGGAAATATGTCAAACGGAGGTATCGTCGACAACGTAGACAAACGCAAACCAGCCCCAGAGGCCAAGTAGCCGTGGTATCCCCATACAAACAAGCGTGCTGGCGTGACCGGCGTGCACCGATGTCCCTCTTGCTTAGTTCCACGAATTGTGCCCATTTTCTCTAGAATGCTTATATATGTGTTTTAAACCCCAGTGAGCAACTAATAGCCGACTGTCAATGAAATGGATGAATATGTGGTAGAACATCACGAGGCGGTACAGTCAATCTAAAAGCACATTTTCCGCGAAAAATCGCGGAGTTTTTGGACGCTATTTTGTTTACATTTTTGGGTGGAATGACGTCCTGCACCGTCTCTGTACCTGTTTGCGTCTTCACGTCCACTTCTTGCGTGCAGTCTGCGTTACAAACGACCATTTGGAAACAGTCTTAATTTTACATGCCAACTGGCGCAGATTATCCCCACGCATGCCAAACCAAAACCAAGAAAATGTTAACACATTTTAGCACGTAATGCAATTAACTAAATAGGAACTCTTCTACAGATACTGACACCGCCCGAGTGACTCTAGTATTCGTTGGCTCTTAATACTCAAGAAGTTGACAGCACACAACAAAAACCTGACAGCATAATGATACTGTTATTTAATGTCTGATCAAATCCTGCAAAATTTCCTCACAAAACACAAGTGAGCATCGCCAGATCAAGGTGGCCGCTAACGCTCTCACTGACCGGGATGATCACAGGTCATCAAAGTTCCACACAAGAAACTTGGGGGTTCATATGTTGCACGGAGTGTCACTTTTGGTATTTTACCATTTTCCCATTACAAATACACACTGCTTATGGCTTGACGTATTGTGAACTTATGCAACAACAAATCCGGCCTTTCTATTAAACAGTGTAGGTCCTATCTCAGTTCGTGCCAAAAAAAAAAAAAAAAAAAAAATTAAGGGGCAGTGGATACAATAATGTGACGTCACATGTTGGGGTTTAATTCCCGATCGGTACGCGCCATTCATGGACAAGAATGTTGTTTCTCCTAATGGCCAAAAACCCACATTCGAAGCAAGATATGGGACGGAGAGAACCTCCCCCTTTGAGTTGGTCATTGTACCACCGGAATCTCAGGAGTTCTTTCAGACATCTAGGGATATGTGTTAGATAAACGATAGTCTAGAATGTGCATAGGTGTGGACCTGTAGTTGGGTGCACCTTCGTCCCATATCTTGCCGGGTATATACCTACATCCCACGAAAGAACTGGGTCGAATCTTTGCCGATTTTACAAAATCAGTGGAAAAAACTTCCCGAATCAACGTGCACATTTACAGTGATTGCAAAGAGTTAGCCGGATAGTATGCAGTAACGGGACACCGTGGCTTCTTCCCCGTTTTGTTTTGGTTTTTTTGTTTTCTTTTTTGGGGTTTTTTAGTACATGGCCTAATACTCTCCTTTGTGCAAAAAAGTCACAGCCGTTGACAAGGCTACCTCATTGTGCACAATGCATTGTGTATGGCAGGGTACTGGTCATTTTCATAATGGCTGCCGAGGACAGTAAAGCCTCATTTACACTGAGCATGACGCGACATTACGCGAGTGCTGAGAATTACCAAAAGGCCAACTTCGCTGATGATACAGTTGTTTCACGATTTTTTCTACTACGTTACGAAGTAGAGCAGGAAAACTTTGTCAGTGACTTACAAGCGTCACTTTCGAGGGATCAGAAGGGTTTATATAGAGGGTGCAAGAGTATAACGCCATGTATAGGTATGGTGTGGTCATTTTAGTCCGCGTCCACCAAGTTGTGAAGTCGGTCGATTTCTACGACCATAATACTCTGAAAGACGAAGAACTATGCAAAGATTATGCGAATTGCCACTAAAAGTATTTCAAATTGCATCCAGAATGAATAATAAAAGCCACAAGTTTGAGAGATTTGCCACGAGGTTTTCCCAGCATCTTTTAGCTCAAAGAGATTTCTCTCTGATTTTCACCCCGGGCAATGAAACAAATAGTAAAAGATTATTTATGAATACGATTCACTTTTGATTTAGAATTTCATTTCACACCAGTTGTAAATGTTATAAAGGTGTATTAGAGGAAAGAAACATACAGTTAACAACAAAATTATTCTTAATTCTTATAAATTTTAGGTTTTTTGTGTTTTCTAAAGAATAAAAGTGGGCACATAATATTTTGGGCCATAGTTGAATACTTTTAGCTGTCTGGTATAAAGACTAATGGCTTTGGTTTTACTTCATTTGCAAAACAAAGAGAATGCTACACTTTTTATATTCTGACATGTTCAGAATTATTCATACCCTTTTAAGTGTTAATATCACAGTTAATAGTCAATTGCAAAGCCCTTGATTACAACATCTAGGCAGTTTGTGTAGCTGTTCAAAAGGGTTTGGCACATCTCCACGCGAATCTTGGCCCATTCTTCCTTGGGTTTTCGATGGGATCCAGGTTTGGGATTTGGCTTGAAGATGGTTGTACCTCCACGTTGTTAAGCCTGGAACAATTTCCTGACTGTCTTTGCCGTATGTTTATCATTGTCCTGTTGGTACCGGCATGTCCAGTTGGGGCCGAGATGGAGATTTTCTGCAGACTGCTTGACATTGTCCTGCAGAATCTGGGTGTACTACTCGATCTTCATAATTCCTTCTACTTTTATGAGATTGCCAGGCCCACTTGCATTGAAACAACCCGACATGATGCTCCCACCTCCGAACTTTAAGGTTGGCACAGTGTTCTTTGGGTTGAAGGTTTCACCTTTCTTGCGCCAAACAAAGAAAACAGCCCTTTGGCCAAACTGCTCCATTTTCGTCTCGTCTGACCATAGAACTGATGACCAGAAACTTTGATCCTTGTCTCAGCTTCCTCTGTCAAATGTGAGTGGAGCTTTTCGATGCCTGTGATTGAGGAGAGGGGTTCTTTCTTAGACGATGCCCATGTAGCCCATCCTTGTGCAGTGTGCGGCGGATTGTCTGCGTCGGAACCTTGGTGCCCATCTCACCCAAGTTATCCTGAAGTTGTTAAGATGATGTGTAAATTAATTATTTCTTTATAATTTTATTAAAAAATAGTTATATTTTGTGGAAAGGTCTTTATAATGCTTTGAAGGGAAAATTGATATAAAACCAAACAGGGCCGAGCAGTTTGACCATACAGGGGCGAGTAGTCTTATGCAAATTATTTGTTTTTGCATCAACACTCAACGTTGGAGTAACTGAGCACCAGGAATCTTCAATGACTGAAAGACATTTCTGGAATGCCCGTTCCAGTATAAAATTGGGGGAGGGGACAAAATACAGAGTGTGCCTTTTCATCCTTCTCCACTGAAACGAAGAGGGCCACGAGCGTCACAATTGTGCCCTTGACGGCTGTTAAGGGGAGTATTCCCTAGGGCACGTGCCAGAGAACTGAGACCGGGAACCCATTGTCCTGCGGCACGGAGGACTGATGTCGTCCACGAGGTAGACGGAGGAGTGGAGTTCTTTTGGCACCGTAACAGTGCTTCCTGGTCCGGTTTGGCGACTTCGTCGGACTTTTTAGGCTTGGATCAGAGTCACCGGATCCTGAAGCCTTTCCTGTAGAAAGTCCGACGTGAGTGAACTCATCGAGGAAGCGTAAGAGGAGTCCCGCCCTTTGCCTTTGTTTTCCTGATGTGTGTTATCTAGAGTCGTCCTTGCAGAGTATAGAACACCGAGACCACCACTCAAAGCAAGCAAAAACAGAACTGATCCTTTTATTTAATTAAGTTATGGATACTGCTTGCCCCTTCTTCACAACCATAAAATGGATCTAACCGGTAACTTTTTGTTTTTATTGTGGTTAAACTTAGTTCAATATAAGTTATTAGCTATTCATAACAAGAGTGAAAACTGGTTTGGTTTTATTCGT